CTGCCCTTTTATTATTTCATCTCTCATTATTCTTCAATCTCTTCCTGTCTACTGCTGCATCCCTACTACCTACAAACACACCCATGACTCAAAAAACCCTCACTTGATCAGTCCATCATCACTAGCTTCCATTTTATAACCCTCCTCCCTTATATACACTCAATGATTCCGCTCTTTCTTTTCTCTTAACTCTGCACTTTGGTTTTGGATCTCATTATTCAAGTGACACTGCTCTCTTCAAAGTTACCAATGATTTCTTAACTGCCAAATCTAACAGCCTTTTCTTGATCCTCATTCTTCTTTATCTCTCTCAAGCTTCCAAGACAATCCATCACCTTTCTCTCCTTTAAACTCTCTTCTCTGCAGGTTTTCAGGATATTGCTCATTCCTGGTTCTTCTACTTGTCTGATTACCTCAGTCTCATTTACTGGATCTTCATCCAGGTGTACCCTGATAATCGTGGGTGTGCCCCAAACCTCTGTTCTGAGTCTTCATCTCTCTATTTCCCTTGGTGATTTTATCAGCTCCCGTAGATTCAACTAACATCTCTATGCAAAAGATTCTCAGATGTATCCAGCCATAATTTCTTGTGACCTTCAGTCTCAAGTCGCCCAAAAACCTATTGGACATCTCAAGCTGCATATCCAACAGACATTTAAACTCAACATATTCAAAACTAAACTCATTATCTTGTCCCTTCCTCCCAACCCCTCTCTTTTCAATAATTTTCCTATTAATATGGAAGGCACCACAAGCTTTTCCCTATTCCCCTTGATGCTAGAGTCTCCCCTCGGTTGATTATCACCAAATTATCTCGTATATAGCTTGTTTGTACTCCCCCGTTAGACAGTGAGCTCCTTGAGAACAGGGACTGATGGCTTAAACAAAAAAAAAAAAAAGTCTTTCCCTTTCTTTTTATCCCCAGTGCGTGGAACACAGGCACTTACTGCTTGCGACCTGGCTTGAAAGGAAATCAGTGAAGTAATTCTCAAACCCCACAACGTGTCATTTAACCAGTTGAGGCCGTCCAGTCACTCCCAGCCTCGCAAGACCCATTTTAATTAGCATTGCGGAGAGACACCAAGAGCCAAGGAAACCACCTTCAGCGATGAGGGACCAGAAAGGCGCCAAGCCACGTGTCACCAGGGTCAGGTGACTGGGTCGGGGTCTCCCTCCTGGCAACCAAAAAGTCCCCTAAAGGAAGAGCCAGGTGCCCGGCCTAGCATGTGGAGAGGGGGAGGGACTAAGAAGAAAAAGCATCTCGGGGTAGATTCAAGTCCCGGCCCAGGAAAAGTCCTCTCTGTAAGCCCGGCCAGGACTGGGCCGATGCGTCCTCGACAAGGCTTACCGAGGGGAAGGTCTTGGGGGTTCACCGTCAGACTCAGCGTCGCCATCTCGGACCGTCAGTCCGTCAGTCCTGCCTCCTTGTGAAGAAGGATGCGTGGGCAACCGGAAGATAAGACGTGTCCGCTCCGCCTGGGCCAAGGCTCCTCCTCCCAGCTCGGCACACCCAGTTTCTCCTCCCCACTTCCGGTGCAGCGGCCAAACGGCCTCGGGCAGTTCCGGAACCTTTCACAAACAGCCTCTACCACGCCGCAGGGTCCGTCTGCAAAAGAGGCACGTTGGACGGTGGAGGATGTGTCTAAGCGTTCCTCCCCTTCCCTCGCCCGGTGCCCTTGATCTGGTCCCCTCCAGTCTTCTCCGTCATCTCTTGCCTCCACCTCTGCAATCTTCACTTTCTCCATCCCTTGCCTGCTGCCTCCTCATCCTCATTGATTATGATTATGAGTACTTATAGCTAGCATTTGTATGGCGCTTTCAGGTGTGAAAAACGCTTTACAAATATCTCGTTTCAGCCGCACCACGACCCTGAACCCTGGGAGATAAGTGCTCTAATTATAACCATTTTACAGATGAGGAAACTGGCAGACAGACCTTAAGTGGTATTAACAACAGCGAGCATTTTAATCGCTTTAGGTTTTGCAAAGCGGTTTACCTATATCTACTCGTTACATCCTGCAAACAAACCTATTATTATTATTATGTGCATTTGACAGAGCTGAAGACGGAAAGGTTCAGGAACTTGTCCAGTCACCCAGCTAATAAAAGTCTGACAGAACTAGTAAGAGCTCGAATTTGAACTCGTCTTCCTGACTACCAGTCCAGCACTAGCTATCTCTTTTCTTGACCCCTCTATCCCCTCCTGCTACCGTGTCTTTCTGTGTTGCCTTTCATAGTCAAACTGGAAGAAAAGCTGATTGGAGAATGAGTGGAATCCGACAGACCCATCTGCACAGGTATGAGGCAGTGAGGGTCTGCACCAGGGTGGTGGTAGTATCAGGAGAGAAGAGGGAATGTAGGAGAGCTGTTACAAGGGTACAAACAACAGGATTTGCCAGTTGACCAGCAGGGCTGGTGAAGAGTAAAGAGAGGACGATGACATCTAGCCTAGGTGAGGGGAAGATGGCAGTATCCTTAAGAAGAAAAGTAGGAGGAGGAGAGAAAAAAGTCTTTGGCCTTTAGCAACTAAGAGATCGTTTGTAATTTTGGAGAGTAGAGTTTCAGTGAAGTAATGGATCCACTCACTGAGAGCTGAGAAGTGAGTGAGCTGTAAGGCAATGGCAGCAGCTTTTCTCCTAGTTCAGTTCCAATGGCTCTCTATTGTCTCCAGGATCAAATATAGAATCCTGCTTGGCTTATAACTGGGCCCTTCCTACCTTTACATTGGTCTTACACGCCACACTCCTACTCTGTGATCCAATGTGGGCTGTTCCTCAAAGAAGACACTCCATTTTACGACTCACATTTTCACTGGCTGTCCCCCAAGCCTTAACTTTATCCTTCCTCATCTCTGCATTTTAGCTTCTCTGCTTCTTTCAAGTCTCAGCAAAAGTCCCACCTTTTGTAAGAAGCCTCTCTCAATCCTCTTTAATGCTAGTACATGTCAATTTAATCTCTACATAGCATGTCTTGTATATATTTTTTTGCATATTGTCTTCCCCCTTAGACTGTAAGCTCCCTGAGGTAAGGGACTATCTTTTGCTTCTTTTTGTATCCCCAGTGCTTAGCATAGTGCTGGCACATAGTAGGTGCTTAATGTTTATTGATAGTGCCTTCCCAGTTATCTCCAATTTATCCCATACATCTTATTTATACTTTCTGTCTTACCCCATTAGTTTGTAAGTTCTTTGGAAGCAGAGATTATGTCTTTCTGTATTTCTTTGTATTCCTAATGCTTAGCACAGTGCCTAGCACATCATAAAGACTTAAATGCTAATTGACTGACCCATAGAAGAGACTATATCTCTTTCAACCTGTTTCCTCATCTCAAAAATGGGAGTAATATTGTTGAGGTTCAGGGGCACCTCAAAATGGTGGGGTGTGTGGTGTATGTGTGGTGAAGCCTTCTCCAATGAATTCACTCAGGCTGTCTCCAAATCAAATAAAGGCACTTATTGAGGATAACACAACACACCAAGCAGGCTCCTTTACCCCTTAAGGGAGACAAAGTTTAAAGGGAGACCCCAGCTTAAGGGGCAGCTACTTGAGAGGTGCCCCCCCCATAGAAGGCAGCCCTGAAAGGGAGATGGCCACTTCAGGGGGATACCATATAAAGGAAGACACCCCATTAAGGGGGACACGCATTAGCCTGGAGAGGTTAGGGATTCTTTATAAAGGAAAACCTGCCATGGCAAGAGAAGATGAGGTAACCAGGGACAGTCGTTTTTAATTTCAAGCATTATATAGACACATAATTATTCCATGGTTCAGTCCTGGGCAGAGCGGTTCTGGTTAGTTTCTGGAATTTCATCAACCAGCCTACTTGAATCTCAGTGTCTCCTAAAGTGGCTTTAAGTGGTATTTGTGATAATGGGCTTCTCCTGGACCAGCCTATTTGAATCTCATCATTCCCCCCCCCCACCAAGAAGTAGGCACCCAAATTCATTTGGGAAAAAGGTCAAGAGTCATGCATTCCTCATCAATATCACCTACCTAACCAGTTTGTTGAGAATTAAATGAGATGATATAAATAAAATCCTCTGTAAATCTTTTTTATTAAGGTATCACTGATCTTTCATTTATTCCTTAGTAGAGCAACTATTTATAAAATATCTATTTTGTGCTGGATTGTGCTAGGCCTGGAAACGCAAAGACAAAAACAAAAACAGAAAACACAAAACTAAAATAGTCTTAGTCCTCGACGATTGTACACTAGGGAAAGCAATACTTACACAGTAAGGAAATATAAAACATATTCAAATACTTGCATAGGTATATAGTGTCTTCAATTTAAATGTTCCCTCAGGTGATATTTATTGTAACCCATCCATGCCTGCTCATTCTATGTGATTCTTGGTCATGCTATCCCATAAATTTGCCACAAGGATTCGGGATATTGTATGGGTGGCCACAATCACTTCATCCTAATATCCCAAGGATGCCACTTGAGGACTCTGATGCTCCATCTATCAAACTTCACCTTTGCCTTGCAACCAACTCATCTTGCTTTTTTAACTCTCTGTAAATCTTAAAGTGCTACGTAAACACTAGCTATTTTTTTTTATTGCTATGCTACCATCTCTCTGCAACAGAGTTCTTTTGCCTGGAGCTAGTGGCACTCCTCTTTAGCTTCTTAGAATACTTATCTTTTTTCAAGACTCAGCTCAAGTACCACCTCCTACAAATAGTCTTTCCTGATTTCTCCCCCTTTCACTCTTAAGTGTTCAGCATTCTTGACCTACTTATATTATCCTGTATTTACTTAACTATACATATGTTGTGTCACAAAGTGGAATGTAACCTCCAGGAGGGCCAGAACTGTTTCATTTTTGGCTCTGTATACCCAGCACCTATTATAATATCTTATACATAGTACACACAATGTCTACTGGACTGAAATTACAGGACTTGAAATCCTAGAAAGTTTTACAAAGAAATCAGAATAAATGAAACCATTTATTTAGTATAGTTAAACATAAGAAATTCAATTAATACAAAAATTAAATAATGTGTAATTTTATCATAAGAGTATCTCTCATAAAGCTATTTCACCAACATAGAAAATAACATTTTGTAGGAGATATAATAAAAATCATAATAATTTAGAGGATAAAGTCATTTAACAAAATAAGATTCATGTAGCATCTAAGCTTTGTGCCTTAAATCAAATGAGGAAATTTTACAGGAATGCTGACAGTATTATTAGCAGGGCTCAAAACTGAACCTTTCCTTTTTATCCCTATAGAATGTAGGCCAAAATTTTGCCATGAGTCAATAGGTATCAAGTGTGATCATTAGGATCCTAATTTGGCTGTTTCATAGATCTAGCTTACCAGCTTAAAGGTGATACTCTTTATTTCAAAACTGGAACTATGAATTTATCAGAATTCATTAATTATTTACGCTGCTCTTACTGTATAAACAATATCACTAATCAATAACAATAAAAACAAAAATAAATCTATTTTCATAATTTTAAAATATTTATTAACTTGAATATCAAATGTCATTGTTTTCACTGGTAAGTAGATAATATGTCTCTCATGGCACAAGAGCTTTCTTTACAGTCTCTGGAACTCGGCTTGCATAATAGTCATGATTCCTCAGTGTGGCAAGGACACCAGCAGAATTCATATGTTTTACTTCCTTATGGTACTGAAGGGCATTTCCATGAATATCAGTCAGTTTACCTGGAAGTAAAAAATACAAATACAGCATTGATTCCTCATAAAAGACTTTACATTTCAGGCTAGAAAAAGTGGTTGTTTTTTTCCTCTCACAGAAATGGTTTTCAATTATTTCTAAGTATGATACAGAAAGAAACACAAAATTAACAGAGCACTCCCAGGTTGAAAGAGAGGGTGAACAAAAAGAAAAAATTATGATTTAAAGACTGAAAATTTGAATTTACTTAAGAGCTATATATATAGCTCTTAAAGTATTAGTTTTCAATTGAATGAAAAATAAGTGTCATAAAATTTTACAGCTGACATTGACCTTAAAACTCATCTAATCCAATCCCTTAACCCTAATTCTGAGGATTATTTTGTTTATTTAAGCCATTGGTTACCAGGTCAATTTAAATATGAGCTTAAAAATTCCAGGATAATAAATCCTAAAAAGAATAGAAGTTTTAATCCCAGTAGACAAGACTGGTTGAACATTCAAAAGTGGAAATGATTTACGCATCTTCTTTCCTATTTCAGAGATGAGGCAGAATACTTATATAATGTATATAACATAAAATTTGTATTATACATGTACTATACTACATTATATACATATATCACATATTATATAATAATAAGTGTGGAACACTGTATAATGTCAGGATTTTTCAATGTACTGGTTCATTTCGTTGAACTGTATATTCTTTTTTATGAGAAACAGCTCTATGGGAGGGTAGGGTGGGGAATACATTAGGAAATGTAAGTGATATAAAAACAAGATTCAATCCAAATTTATCTTTTTAGAAAGAACAAAAGACATTAATAAAAAAGAAAATATATGATTTTGATAAAAGAAATGGCATTTCAAATGTTTGCTTACTCATTGCACCCTGGGCTCTTATTGGGTGTTTATGTGGTTTATTTTCCTGGTAGTTATTTTAAACCCACACTAATCATTCTCTATTATTCATTTCTCAATCATTCTTAAATCAGCATTACAAAAAATGTGCTTATTCATATATTTTCTGCTCTCATTTAAAAAAAAACTTCCCAAAGTCTGATCCATGTTTATATCATAACATTCATCTCTGTACACATAACTTATCTCTGTACATGTAACTTTAATCACCACTCTGTTCTTCATTCCTCCTACTTCATATAACCTTTCATTGACTTTCTGATTTTGCTAATTTGTTTCTTCTTTTTTAATCCATTTTTTTTCCTTCATGGACCTTTTATGCCCATTTAACTGGGACTATAGTTTCAGTGAAATATATTCACAAAATAAAGCTGTAGTATGTTATAAAATTTAGCACTGAATAGCTTGATGAGAAATAGACTATCTTAAGTAAAATGGAGGAATTAAAAAAAATCAAATGTTTTCCTGGAGTATATTCTAGGTGATAAAATCAATTTTATGAGGAAGTGTTTACTAATAATAAAGATGGACCAAGGGACAGTTTTTAAAAGCATTTTAATGTGATGTGTATTTAATGTAATGTAATGTGTTTAGATGGGGAGTTTCCCTCTAAATTTAGGCCATGTTGCACACAGCACAGTGGAGTGCAAAGTCCACATGTGGCTCAATCAGTACTAATTCAGAATATAAGATCTGAGGAGGTAGAGCCAAGATGAGAGAGTAAAGACAGGGGCTTGCCTCAGCTCTCCCCTGAACCCGTCCAAATATCTTTAAGTAATGACTCTAAACAAATTCTAGAGTGGTAGAACCCACAAAAAGATGAGTTAAACAATTTTCCAGCCTAAGACAACTTAGAAAGTTGGCAGGAAAGGTCAGTTGCACCAAGGTGAGAGAGGAGCGCAGTCCAGTGCAGGCTGCGCCACCACAGACTAGGCCCCAGTGCAGATCTGGACCCAGCAAACCAGGAGCAGGCTTAGGGAGACTGAATCAGTGGCAGCAGTGGTGGTTTCCAGACCTCTCAGCTCACAGATGCCAAAGACAACTTAGGAGATTGGCAGGAAAGGTCTGTTGCACCTAGGTGAGAGTGGAGCACAGTCCAGCAAAGACCACACCAGCACAGCTCCAGCCCCAGCAAACCAAGAGCAGGCCTTGGGAGCCACTGAATCAGCAGCAGCTGCTTCTAGAACTCTCAGTTCACAGATGGTAAGGGGGTCAAACAACTGGTCATTACATAGGTCTCTTTGCTAGCATCGAGGCAGGATTTTGTTGGTTGCCCATCCTCGGACATAGGTCACACTCCTGGGTGGCAGTCCCAAGGTGAGGAGGAGCCCTAGCACACCAGAGCTTGTGGCCACAGTGGAGCAGGGACCCTTCTCACAGTTCTGGGGCAGAAAAGAATGCTTGTGGTCACTCACAGACCAGAGCACAGGTCAGGAAAGTAGTAAACACCTCTCCTTAGATCATACCACCTCCGAAGAACTGAAAACTTACAGGTTCCTAGGAGTATCTCTGAAAACAGTTCCCCCTGAAGCTTGGGACAGTGCCCACTTCACCTGTGAAACAAAGCCCCACTTTAACAAAGAGCTAAAAATAAGTAATAGACTGGGAAAAGAAGCAAACAATAGAAAAAAAATTCTGACCATAGAAAGTTACTATGGTGACAAGGAAGATAAAAACACATACTCAGAAGAAGATAACCAAGTCCTTTATCCAAAGCCTTCAAGAAAAATATGAATTGGTCTCAGGCCATGGAAGAACTCAAAAAGATTCTGAAAAATCAAGTAAGGGAGGTAAATGAAAAATTGGGAAGAGAAATGAAAGTGATGCAAGAAAATAATGAAAAATGAGTCAACAGCTTGGTAAAGAAGGCGCAAAAAATACTGAAGAAAATAACACCTTAAAAAACAGAGTGAACAAGGGGTGGGGAATCTATGGCCTTGAGGCCACACATGGCCTTCTAGGTCCTTGGGTGTGGCCTTTTGGCTGAATCCAAGTTTTACAGAACAAATCCTTTTATTAAGTGTATTTGTTCTGTGAAGTTCGGATTCACTCAAAGGGTTGTACTTGAGGTTTCCCACCTCTGGAATAGGCCAAATGATAAAAGAGGTACAAAAAAGTCAATGAGGAGAATACCTTAAAAAGCAGGATTGGCCAAATGGAAAAAGAAGTACAAAAGCTAACTGAAGAAAATAATTCCTTAAAATGGAATTAGAATGGAGCAAATGGAAGCTAATGACTTTATGAGAAATCAAGAAACAATAAAACAAAACCAAAAGAATGAAAAAATAGAACACAATGTGAAATATCTCAGGGGACAAACAACTGACCTGGAGAATAAATCCAGGAGAGAGAATATGAAAATTATTGAACTACCTAATAGGCATGATCAAAAAAAGAGCCTAGACATCATCTTTCAAGAAATTATCAAGGAAAACTACCCCAATATTCTAGAACCAGAGGGTAAAATAAAAATTGGAAGAATCCACCAATCACTTCCTGAACAAGATCCCAAAATGAAAACTGCAAGGAATATTAAAGTCAAATTGCACAGCTCCCAAGTCAAGGAGAAAATATTGCAAGCAGCCAGAAAGAAACAATTCAAGTATCATTGAGCCACAGTCAGGATAAGACATTTAGCAACCTCTACATTAAAGGATCAGAGGGCTCAGAATATGATATTTTAGAGGACAAAGGAGGTAGGATTACAACCAAGAATCATTTATCCAGAAAAACTGAGTATAATCCTTCAGGGGAAAACTGGATATTCAATGAGAGAGATGACTTTCAAGCATTCTTGACGAAAAGACCAAAGCTGAACTTTCAAATACAAGACTAAAGCATAAAAAGGGAAACAAGAAAGGGAAATCACAATGGACTTAGTTAGATTAAACTGTTTACATTCCTACCCAGGAAGATGATACTTGTAACTCATAAGAACTTTCTCATTATTACGACAGATAGGAGCATATACAGACAAAGAGGATAGGTGTGAGTCGAATACAAAGGGACAATATGTAAAAAAAAATAAAATTAAGGGGTGAGAGGGGAATGTACTAGGAGAAACAGAAAGGGAGAGATAGATTAAGGTAAATTATCTCATATAAAAGAGGCAATAAAAAGCTTTTACAGTATAGGGAAAGAGGAGTAAGGTGAGGCAGAGTGAGTGAACCTTACTCTCATCAGGATTGGTTCAAAGAGGGAACAATATACACACTCAATTGAGTGTAGAAATCTATCTTACCCTACAGGAAAGCAGGAGGGGAAAGGGATAAGAGAAGAGGGTGGAGGTGATAAAAGGGAGGGCGGGTGGGAGGAAGGAGTCAGAAACAAAACACTTTTGAGGAGGGACAGAGTGAAAGGAGAGAGAGAATAGAATAAGCAGGGGGGAAAGGATGGAGGGAAATACAGTTAGCAATAGTAACTGTGAAAAAAAAATTGAAGCAAGTTTTTCTGATAAAGACCTAATTTCTCAAACATATATTGAACTCAGTCAAATTTATAAAAATAAGAGCCATTCCCCAGTTGATAAATGATCAAAAGATATGAACAGTTTTCAGATGAAGTAATCAAAGCAATCTATAGGTATATGAAAAAATGCTCCAACTCACCAAAGTTTGGAGAAATGCAAATTAAAACAATTCTGAGGCACTACTTCATACCTATTAGATTGGTTAATAGAACAGAAAAGCAAAATGACAAATGGTGGAGAGGATGTGGGGAAAATGGGGCATTAGTGCACTGTTAGTGGAGTTGTGAACTGATCCAACCATTGTGTAGAGCAATTTGGAACTATGCCCAAAGGGGTACAAAACCAGCAGTACCACTACTAGATCTGTATCCCAAAAGAGATTAAAAAAAAAAACAAAAATGAAAAGAACTTACATGTACAAAAATATCTATAACAGCTCTTTTCTGGGGGTAAAGAATTGGAAATTGAGGGGATGCCCATCAATTGGGGAACAGCTGAACAAGCTGTGGTATGTGATTATGATGGAATACTATTATGCTATGGGAAATCATGAGCGGGATGCTCTCAGGAAAGCCTAGAGAGACTTGCATGAACTGATGCAAAGTGAAATGTACTGTGTACAAAGTAACAGTAATATTGTATGATGATCAACTGCGAATGACTTAGCTATTCTCAGCAATACAATGACCCAAGACAAGTCTGAAGGACTTATGATGAAAAATGCTACCCATCCCTAGAGAAAGAACTGATGGTGTCTGAATAGACTGAAGCATACTTTTTTTACTTACTTATTCTTCTTGAGGTTTTTTTTAATCTATGCTTTCTTTCACAGCATGACTATTATGGAAATGTTTTGCATGACTACAATGTATAACCTATATTGAATTGCTTGCCTTCTCAACGAAGTGGGGTGGGAAGGGAGCAAGGGAGAGAATTTGGAATTCAAAGTTTTAAAAATGAATGTTAAAAAATTGTTTTTACACATAACTGGGGAAAAATAAAATATTAAATAAAAAAAATCATAGAACTTTAAAGCTGGGAAAAAAGAATATGACCTCTATCTCATTTTTTTATTTGAATTCCCAGAAACTAGCACAGCATTTGGTATGCAATTGGAACTTAATAAATGCTTGCTGATTGACTGATTGCTTGCTCATTGACTGATGACAATGATGATTAATATTTAACTTGTCAGGAAAATCTTCTATTCATAGATTAACTAAAATGCATTTTTGGGAAGCAGGAAAAATTAAATTAAAAATTCTGCTTGTATATAACCATCCAAAAAGAGGCTACATTAGAGTATCTGGAAGCATATTAAAAAAACTTTTTTAGTAAAATTGAAAATATTAAGAAATAATAATTTCTCTAGTCTATGAGTTTTTTCCAGACATCCTTCCCCACCATCCCTTAGAAAGGTGGACAAAAAGCCTTTTTTTTTTTTAAGAAAAGAATTAAGGATAGAAGCCAACCTTTTAACAAAAAGTACTCCTTAACTTTGTTAAGATCATTATGTCACCACCTTCTGAAGCTAGCTGACTTGTCTAAGGGCAGTCTTCAACTCAGGAAGCTGAACCCTTTTTAAAAAAATTTCTGGAGAACATTTGAAAGTAGTGGTCAACAGAGGAAGTGAGTAGTGACTATTGTTTTAGAATGTTAACCCAACTGTATTTTAAAATGCTAAAATATCTTTCTGAATTCAAGACTCCTATAAATATTATCTCAAATCCTGTGACAGAGAGTCTTATTGGAAGTCACAAGGGAACTATGCTAATCTCTCTCCAAGACAGAAACGGCTTGGATATAAAATAATGTTAAAATTAAATAAAATTGTTTTTGGCAGACTTGTGCTTAAAATATAACATATGGTAATTAATTTTTTTCGATTAATGTTTAAATAAAAATGGATATGCTATATGAAGTAGTAGTTCTGTGTTGATAGTAATAATGCATGTTATATAACAACTGAAACTGAAAAGAAATTATAATTACTTGTGAGGACAAGAATGAAAAGATACCTTCTTCTGCTTCTTTAAATATGTGGGAGACCACAGGTTTGAAATGCTACACAGAACATCAGATTTTTTCATATGCTGGTTATTACTTTTGCTGAACTTTTTTTTCCTTTTTCTTTCTAAAGTCACTTACTCTATGGGATGGATCTCTGGGACAGGGTAGGCATCAGAATACAATGGGAAATGAAGATTATGAAAAAACGAAAGTTACTAGTAAAATGCATGTGATGTCATTGATACTACAGTATATCAAAATCTTTAAATACCTCTACTGAACCCAAAAAGTATCTCAATTTGCTTACTCACCTCCTACAGCACATAAAATAACTTCTGGAGCACAAGTATCCCACTTCTTACATCCAGGACTGGCAAATACGTAAGCAGACGCTTTGCCTTCAATCAGCTGAATGATCTGTAAGGATTTTTTTTAAAATGTCATAGGCTCTAGGAGCATGGATCTATTTACTTAAAGCAATACATATAGTCAGTTTAATCAAATAACTCTCACGTGAGGATACTGCCTTCTGTGGGCTTAGAGGGATCCCAAGAAAGCCAGGAGGATGGCTTGATGGCTTTGTTAAAAAGTGAAGTAAGCTTTGATATGTTCAGACAGTCAGGTGAAGAGGAGCTCCTCAGCAGTCGCTCCTTGCAGCATCACTCATGGTCAAAGGTTAATTTTAATTTGAAATCAGGCAACAATAAAGATTCCCATGGCCACTTAAAAAATTTGCTATTAGCTTTCCTTAATGACAAATGTTGGGATGCCTACTCCAGTTTATCTACTTTCTAGCTTAGAAGAGTTATTTCTAATGTAAGCAAATGATTACCTCAGAAAAATAGTGCAAGAAAAAAACAATAAATCAAAAATTTTAATAGGTTTGAATTTAGAATTTAAAAACTAGATATAGATTTGACTTTATATTTTATAGCCAATCTTAGTGGCATCATTTTATTACTTCTATTCTCTTTCCATACATTTTTAATACTAATTTATACCAAATGAACAAGTCTGAACATTATCAAATGACTGATTCTGCGTAACAAGAAGCTGAAGGGGGAAAATGATAATAAATTCAATATTTTCTAACTCCCCTCAATCTTTCTGACAAACATCAAATATATTACCTTATTTCCTGCTCCTCCCACTCTGAGAACATTATCAGGATTCATAGCAGAAATGCAATCATTTACCAACTTGCTGGAATGAGAACGAGTTGTGGTAATTATATGTTTCCCATCAGGCACTTCATTCAGTTGAAACCCAAAGGCACCCAAACCTAAAATTCCCCAAATTGTCCTCCCGAGCACAGCATCTGCTCCTGCCTAAAAAAATCAACGAAACAATAATATGTAATACTTCTGTAGCAAAAAGCTAGCTAAAGGCATAATATTTTTATTTTAGCCACGTTGTTATAATTATGTCAAAAGATATTAACACAGAATTATTATACCTCTTAGATAACATGAATTATTACATTATTTTGCGAAATACTATAGTTTGAAATGCACTAGAGAGGAAAGATATTACTGTTCCCTGCACTACCAGGATCACTCAAGAGATAGTCAATATTATGGGCTATACGACAACAGTTGTGGCTGAATAAACCGTCAATGAAAGGCTGTCAGGAAGACAGGGTTGAGGTTAGAGTTTTATTCCCTAACCTTCTAGTGTAAAAATATAAAGATAATATAACCTTGGATGTAAATCTTTCTTTCATTAGAATGTAAGCTCTGAATTAGAATGTGAACTCCTAGAGGGAGCAAGGACTGTCTTTTGCCTCTTTTTGTATCCCAAGTGCCTAGCACATAGTAGGTGCTTAATAAATATTAGTTGATTGCTTTAATGAATGATTTCAAAGAGCTTAACGTGTCTTTGTGTAATCTTATCTCACTTATTTCAAAATTATTCATGTGAAACACAAAGATGGTATTCTTATTTTTTAGGAGAAATTGAGACACAAATAAGTTAATATAGAGCCACATACACAAAGGTATATTCATTATGGGGTTTCACTTTCCATAAATGGTTTATTACACATTTCTGCATCTATTACTTACTTACATTTCTTCTAAGCACTCACCCACCTCCCCACTCCTGAGTGCCACCATTAAGTAAGTAGTACTTGTAGTTGGCCTGAGTGGTACTACCTCAGGTCACTGAGGCAGACCTGAAAGTACAAGCAGGAGAAAATCACAGGATTATAGGTTTTAGAGTAGGGGGGGACCTTACTGGTCATTTAGTCACTGCCCTCATTTTGCAGATGAGAAAACTTGAGATCTAGACATATGGAGACTTGCCCAAGATCAAGAAGAAAGGGAGAGAAAAATTTAAATTCTTTTAATAATTGTCATCATCTGGTAGCAACAATGCTAAAAACTCAAGTGTAGTACCTGTTCTGTTAGTAAGAGCTAAAACTCCAGTTTTATTTTTCACTTTTTCCTCACTCTTATATTCTCTTAACTTCTTTTTACTGCTCTGTGGGTAAAGATTAGTTTTTCTCACCTTTTCAAGAGATATGATGAAAATTAATGATAACTTTAAATCACGTAGATATTTACAGATAAACGGTCCTATATATTAGTTTTATTCCTGATTAAAATAACCCTTTGGGGGCAGCTAGGTGGCACAGTGGATAGAGCACCAGCCCTGAAATCAGGAGGACCTGAGTACAAATCCGGCCTCAGACCAAACACTTGACACTTACTAGCTGTGTGACCCTGGGCAAGTCACTTAACCCCAATTGCCTAAAAAAAATTTTTAAAAAATAACTCTTTTAATTATCAGTACTGATTTATTTTTATATTTTACAATGTGATCTTGAATGTATCACAATTTGAACTGGCACTTTGCTGTGATAATTCCAAGAAATATATGCTTCTACTGATAAGAAATAAAAATCAACCACAAAAGGCACTAAGGAACAAACATCCTGCAATTTTAAAAAAGTGTTAAAATGGCATGGCAAAATAAAAGATGTGCTTTTTGAAAGGGGGATCTGTGTACTCCAAGTTAAGCATATTAAAGGTGATAGGTTTCTGGTTACTTGTTTTTCTCTTTAGTCTTGACAGGGTTCTTTTCTCTCAGTTCCCTCATTTAAAACGTATAGTTTTAGAATACTATACTTCAACTCTGGAATTACTGAATAATGGAAACAAAACTGAGCTTTTTACTTCCAGTCCTTGTAAAAAGATCATTATTACTATAGCTGTGTGACACAGTACTTAAATTTTCACAAAGTGCTTTACCAACATTATCTCATTTGATCCTCACAATAACCTGAAGTGGCAACTAGAGGTATCACAATTTTATAGATGAAAAAACTGAGGCTAGAGAGCAGGCAATTGGCCTTTGATCACACATTTAATAAGTGTTGGAGGTGGGATTTGAACCCATAGCTACCTAAATCCAGCATTCTTTCCACAGTACCATGCTGGTTTTTTTTCCCCCAAATTGACAGGAATAATACCAGCTCAACAAACAGAGCAAATGGTAATCTAACAATGAGTATTAAATATTACTCAAAAGAAAATGACTCATATTATTCTTTGATCCTAATACGTTACTTCTGTAACATTTTCCTAGCTCTCCTTAAGAGAGAGGTGTCCAGATTAACAAAGTTACCCTAATTCCACTATTATGTATGTATACCTCAAGGAGGTCAAAGACGTTCCATATATACTAAAACATTTATAGTAGTACTATTTTTTTATAGTAATAAAGAACTAGAAACAAAATGGATGCTAGTTGACTGGGAAATAGCTAAACAAATTATGTCATTACTATGCTACAGGAAACAATGAATATGATAAATACAGAGAAGGATGGAAAGAGCACATGAACTGATGCAAAGTGAAGTAAACAAAATCAGGAAAACAGCATACAGAATAACTACAATGTAAATGGGGAAAAACCAGCAATAAACACTCCAAACTGAACAACAGATAATAATGCCCAGGGATGGTCCTAACCAAAAGTTAAGAAAATTCACCCCCTTTTCTTCACTGCAAAGCTGGATGACTAAGTTTGGAATACTGAATCCCATCACCATCTTATAAACCCTCTTCTGTATATACTATGTGGCCCAAAAGTTTTAGTACAGTTTTAAGCTTTACCAGTTTTAGGCTTTAATAGCTTAAAATGACACTAGGACTTTTAGGCTTCCTGATACTTCTGTTGGCCAATGTTGCTCCTCAAATGTGGTGCCCAAACTGAAGACAGTACTACAGATGTGTTCTGACGAGGGCAGAGTGCACTGAGGCTCTCAAGTTACTTGTTGTGGACCCTATAGCTCTACTGAAGTAGCTCACAGATGGTTAGCACATCACAGGGCTGAGTCTTACTAAGATTGTGAATGATCAAAATCTCCCAAGAACTTTTTTTCAAAAAGAATGGCTTTCTAGTTACATCTCTCACATCCTCTACTTTTCAACATGAATTTATATAGAATCTATATATTATATAACCTATATGTTATAATTGGTCCATTGTTGCAGCCTACTGAGATAGGTTTAGGTTATAATTCTGTCAGTGAGTCAATGGGCATTTATTAAATACTTACTATGGGCCAGACACTGTGCTTAGCACTGGGGATACAAAGAAAGGCAAAAAACCATTTCTGTCCTCAAGAACATATATTTTAAAACAACTTCTCTCATCAGTGTATTAGCAAATCCTTCCCAACTTCCTGCCATCTATCAGATAATAAGCCATCAATTTTTTCATCCAAGTCATTAATAAAAGTGTTAAAAAAAAGAAAAGCATCAAGGACAAAGGCTGAACTAATCAGTCTCAAATGGCTCCTTTCCATGCCCATAACTGAAATTTACAAAAGTAGTTACAAAACAAATGAAATTCTTCTGCATTAACGTATTATACCTGATAATTGTAGTAAGGCTGGTTAATAACTCCTGCTATTGCTCTTCCTTCATAAGCAATTCCAATAAGGACTGTTACATTGTCCAGAAGACCTGTGTACACATAATAAAGTAATTTATTCATTTTTCCATTAATTTCTTAAATGTTTTATATGGTCTTCAATTTTGTATGAATTCATTAAAATCTATCTGTAAACAATATTTTCATTAATACATAAAAAGAACATGTCACAATTTTTCCACTTTCCACAGAATACTCCCCCAACATAAACTCTGCAGAAGTATTGTCTTCTTACAAAGGCAATACTGCTGATGGTTGCAGGCCAGCAGGGCTACAGTCTGTCACTGCAGAATCTGAGGTGTTGCCAAACAGTTCACATCAAGGTTAATTCAAACTCTATATTTTATGTGAGGTTCTAAGAGGGTTAGTAACTTGCTTAAAGCAACACAGGTAGTAAGTAGAAGATCCAGGATTCAAACCCAGGGACTTGTGACTCCAGTTTCAACTGTCTTTCCATTGAACCACACACAGTACATAAGCCTGTTCCCGCTATGGGGAGCTCCAGACCCTCCATGGAAGAGATGGTTCCAACAAGTCATGGCAATGTGGACCACAGTGGCATCAGGAGAGAGGTCATTTAGGAAGAATAAGAGGAATAAGGAGGAGACATGTATTGGTGATTAGCGGGTGATTCTGCTGGTGGGTACTGAGGCTGCTATTTGTTGATCGGATGCTCACAAGAGAAAGGTCTACAGTCTTCCCATTGCATGCATCTAAGGCAGGGCTGAAGGCCTCCAAATGCCTGTCAAAACCAACAGTAACTATCTTATTTTACAAGTCATTCCCCAATCGATAAATGGTCAAAGGATAGGAACAGGAAGTTTTCAGATAAAGAAATCAAAGCTATCTATAGTCATATGAATAAATGGTCTAAATCACTACTGATTAGAGAAATGCAAACTAAAACAACTCTGAGGTACCACCTCACACCTATCAGATTGGCTAATAGGACAGAAAAGGAAAATGATTATAAATATTGGAAGAGATGTTGGAAAATTGGGACATTAATGCACTGTTGGTGGAATTGTGAACTGATCCAACCATCCAACAATTTGGAGCTATGCCCTATGGGTTATCAAACTGTGCACACCCTTTGATACAGGAATACCACTACTAGATCTGTATCCCAAAGAGATGTTTTTTTTTTTTTTAAAGGGAAAAGGACTTATTTGAAGAAAAATATTTATAGCAGCTCTTTCTGTGGTGGCAAAGAATTGTTAATTGAAGGGATATCCATCAACTGGGGAATGGCTGAACAAGTTGTGGCATATGATTATAATAGAATACTTTAGTGCTGAAAGAAATGATGAAGAAAAATAAGAAAAGAAGAAAGATACAGATAAGGGAATCAAGGAATTGATCACTAAGACTGACAACTAGATGCAGAGGATGGAAATTAGGCATTGGATTTAGGCTTAATTTAACAGAAATCTTCCTTGCAATTGATGGCATCCAGAAGTGACATGGGTTTCCTTAGGCAGTAGGCTCCCTGTCACTTAAAGGTATCTAAGCAAAGATTACAGGATCCTTTCTCTAGGACACTCTAGAGCATGGATAGGGAACCTTTGGCCTCAAGGACACAAGTGGCCCTCTAGGTTCTCAGTGAGGGCTTTTGAATGAATCCAAACTTCACTGAACAAAACCCCTTAATAAAAGGATTTGTTCTATAAAACTTGGACTCCACACTCAAGGACCGAGAAGGCCACATGTGGCCTCAATGCTGCAGGTCCCCTACCCATGTTCTAGAGGAAACTCAAGTACAGGGATGGATTGGACTAAAGGGAATCTGCTTTTCTGTGATTCTGTGAGGGGATTTTATAGGAAATGTTTTTAAACTGGATTCAAATATGTATAAATCAAAGTACATGGGAATCTAGCAGCCAACTGGCAATAAGTATACGCTTAGCCCTTTATGGGACTGAGACTGATCTTATGTACTAATGCCACTCCTATTCATCAATGTCTTTCTTAATCTACTCTTGGTAGACCACCTTTCCTTCTGAAGGCTCTCTTTGGGCATCAGAGTCAAGATTTATATTGAGACCAGAAGAAGAATGTCCTTATCTATTTGAGATCATGAAGTTCTCATGTATTCCTGCCTAGCACACAGTCTTCCCAATTTGTGAGATACCTGAGTTGCCACCAGTCTAATATTCCTTTATCATGAATTTTTCTTGAGAATCTGCTGGAAGATAAACATCTAGACAGTAATGACAAGGGAGGTACTAGTCTCCCTACACATTGTCAATCAGTCGGTCAACAAGCATTTACTTACTAAGAACTTACTTGCCAGAAACTGTGTTGAGTGCTAAAGATATCCCCTGGTCAATCCACATGTTACCTCTTTGTAGAATCTAAATTCTGTGATTAAAAATGTCAAAAGGCACAAGGGCCAAGAACCAATCTCTAAAGTACTCTAGTAGAAACATCCTCCCTGGCTAACATCTATTAATCACTACTTTTTGATTCTAGTCATTAAACCAATGCCAAATCTACTAACTTTATTAACATACAGTAGACATATTTACATCTTGCCAAGGGTAACATGGAAACCTTTATCAAATGCCTTACATTTGAAATCCATATATGCTTGTTGTTTGATGTTCAGTCATTTCAACTGTATCTGACCCTTTGTGACCTTAATTGGGCTCTTCTTGGCAAAGACATGCCAAGTGGTTTGCCATTTCCTTCTCTAGCTCATTTTGCAGATGAGGAAACTGAGGCAAATAAGGTTAAGTGACTCACCTAGGGTGATACATCTAGTATCTGAGGGGGGATCTGAACTCAGGAGGATGTCTTCCTGACGAGAGGCCCAGCATTCCATTCATTACACCATCTAGTTGCCCCAATATATGCTATTCTGTGGCATAACTTTGATTTTTTTAGGTTATTAGTAACCTCATCAAAAAATAAATAATGCTAGACTAGCATGACCCATTCCTGCTGAAACCATACTGGCTCTAAGAGACCACTGTTTCCCTTCTTCATAAACAAGACCACTAATGGTGGCTCAGCAATCACATCTGCCAATTCTTTCAGTACTATTACAGAGAGGTAAATTTTTACTATCTCGTCACTTCCTGCAGGTTTCAACACCTATTAAGTATTTTTGTTCTACCCTTCCTTCACAAAATTGGTAGAACTAGATGCAACAGGTGGAAATTAGGCAGATTTAGGCTTAATTTAAGGAAAATTCCCCAACAACTGGTGCTATTTAAAAGTGGAATGAGCTTCTTTAGGCAGTATTAGATTCTCTGACACTAGAAGTATCTAAACAAAGATTATAGAACCCTTTTCCATAGTAGAGAAAATAAAAGCAAGATAAGAGTTTGTTAGCTCTGCATTCTATTATCCATTCCCAAACATGAACTTCAAAGGACAATGAGTGATGATGGTAGGTTAGGAGAAAAGAAGGGTGGTACATTCACACAAGCTATCATCCACAACTGGATCATATTCCCTCTATATCTCCTTACTTGGCGAATTATTTTTCTTCTTTCAGGACCTAGCCAAGTACCAGCTCTTTAAAGAAGCTTTTCTTGATTCTCCAAGGAAACCGATGTCACTGTTCTAAAATTTCTTATTTCACTTTGTCTGAACTTCTCCTCCGCACTTCTCATAGTGTAGCTTGTAGCATGTTTATTTTTGTATAGATTTTATGTCTCCCATTATCTTGGAAGCTCCTGAAGGGCAAGGATATACTTTTCATTTCTGAATTCCAAGCACCTGGTAGACAGCCTAGTACAGATTAGGCACTTAATAAATGCTCTTTAAATCGAACTGAGTACAGCATTTCCAATACCATTGAGATCTGGAAACAGGGAGATTACGAAGAATGAAGTTGGAGGGTCTCCTCATGTCCAACTACTTCTTGCCCAAAGTATACATTTTTCTTGAATAACCAGTATTAAAAGGATAAAACAGGAAGAGAAGTGAGGACAGTGTTAACTAGGAAGTTCAGGACCTTAGAATGGCAAAGTGCCAGGAACTGGTGGTAATGTCTCCTCCTCCGGGCTTCTAAACTTAATCTTGTGCAATAAATCATTAGCTTGAGATTTCTTTTGCTCTGGGAAATGATGGCCACTGGATCTATCACTAGCACTATCTGAACCTGGTCTTCAAAGGTCTATCTAATCAATGAGACAAACTCCTCCAGCAGGGGACTGTCTAACACTGCCATAGAACTGGAGCTAAGAGATCAGCAATGGAAAAATCCAACTACAAGGGAAGCAGTTGTCACAATTGGTAGCAGAATCTGGGGCTTAGTATCCAAAAGCCTGTGAGCTAGTCTTATGCAAAGCACCAGTCTGAGCCTCCATTAATCCCTTGCAGCTGTGTAGGTATTGAGGGCAGATAATGACTTAACCTCTGTAATGGTAATATAGATCAAGCTAAACTATGTTCAATTGTTCTTGACCAAATGTATGAAATTTCATACAGTTGGCTGAAGGAAACAAAACTCTCTTACTGGTCTAGAGGAGAACGAGACTCAATCTCATTATCACCATACTCTAAATTGGCGGTGTCAAACTCAAACAATAAATAAATCACTGGGGGCCACATATTAACTTAGAAAATCACAAGTTAGGGGACAGCTAGATGGCACAGTGGATAAAGCTCCAGCCTTGGAGTCAGGAGGACCCAAGTTCAAAACTGGCCTTAGACATTTGACACTAGCTGTGTGACCCTGGGCAAGTCACTTAACCCCAATTGCCTCAAAAAAAAAAGGAGACTGAAAATCACAAGGTAACATTATCTATGTTGTATTTATATTGTATTTTTATTTTTTTTAAACATTTCTCAATTACATTTCTATCTGTCAGTATAGAACTCATTTTATGGGTTGCCCTGAGTTTGACATCTCTGGTCAAACCAGCTATAAACCATCTTTATGCTTTGTATCATACTCTATCCCTGGATCACGTCTTTGTCCTGCATTATTAAAGTTTTATATCTTTCCCTCCATAACTTACTTTTATTATATAAAAATGTCATATTTTTATATAATATGTTACTTTGGTATATAAATAATGACAAACAACCAATCCCTTTCACTAATATAGATAAGTTCTCCATATCTGATGGCTACTTCAAGTACACTTAGTGTTTCCATTAGAAAAGTCTGGATATTAACAATAGTAACAATAATGACTCACATTTATATAATATAATATCTCATACATAATAGAACTTAGTTATCAGAGATTTCTAAGACTCCCCCAAAAAAAGTTTTGCTTTAGCCATGAAACAAGTAAATGATTCAAAAGATAATGTGTGCCCTGTCCTTCAAACATGAAAATATAGGAAACATATGAATGCTATGCAAGTCAAATCTCTGGCTTTCAGTCTCTTTCTAGTAGGATGCCAGTTTTGGCTTTTTTTGTTGGTTCTTTAATTCTTCTGATTCTTAAACACTAAGGAGAACTTTGGAAAGGAAAGAAAAGCTATTTAACTAAAGCTCATCTTTATAGGGTAAGGTATGATGTGAGAAACAGCTAGCATTTACATAGTGCTTTAAGGATTGCAAAGTACTTTACAATTATCTCACTTTATCCTCACAACAACCCTGGTAAGTAGGTGCTATTATTACCCCCATTTTACAGATGAAGAAACTGAGGCAGACAAAGGTTAAATGACTTGCCCAGGGTTACACAGCTAGTGTCTGAGATTGAATTTTATTTTATTTTAAATTTTTTTCTTTGATTGAGGCAACTGGGGTTAAGTGACTTGCCCAGGGTCACACAGCTACTAAGTGTCAAGTGTCTGGTCTGAGGCCAGATATTAACTCAAGCCCTCCTGACTCCTGGTCCAGTGCTCTATCCACACTGCACCACCTAGCTGTCCCTTGAGATTGGATTTTAATTCAGGTCTTCCAGTCTCCATGTTCAGCACTCTATCCACTGTGTAACCAGCTGCCTCAGAATATGGAAGGTAAGGTGCAGGGTAGGGATATAATCTGGAAGGGAGTAACAAGGATAATATAGTGTTGAGAGTGGCCAGGGAGCCCAGAAAAGGTTGGTCAGTTGAGGAAAGCGTGGATGCAGTGTCTGTTTTAGGAACGGTAGATGGACTATGACACTTGCCTTTCATATGAGGGACCTAGAAATAGGCTCTGTTAGTTGTTTGTATTAAAGTGATAAAATTAGCTTTGCCATATATAACTACAAATAAGAAGCTGACCTTCAGTGTATTCCTTGGTGCCATCCAGAGGATCAACCCACACAACAAGCTGAAAAACAGCAAGGAAAAGATTCAATTTCAGGAAGTAAATCACAAGTACAAATCTCACTACATTAAATTACATGACTTTTTTTCCTTCTCATTGAAACTAGGTTATACTTTTTCTGATATGATAGTAAAAAGGCTCATTAAGAGTACTCACCAGTCTCATGAGGCCTCACTAACTTGTAATCACTGAGGAGAAAGCCTAACTGAATCACTGGAAAATATTGCTATGATATATTGTAGAATACATTAAAAGTAATTCTAAATGAACAAAGCTTTACTATCATTCTACAAAATCTTCAATTACTATAATTCTACAAAATCATGTACATTGTACAAGAATAGTGTCATATATGAAATAGGCTCTAAAAGGCATTAAGGAAAGAAGAGGATAGAAAAAGTTTTACAGTTGAGGTACAAATCTGAGAGTTTCAACCTAACAACATACCAAATTCAAGAGTATAAACCACGACTGTAAAATAATGAATCTGTCTTTTTAAAAAATCAGACCTATTTTATAGCCAAATGAGTACCATCTTTCAAAATAGTCATCATGGGATACTATATTTATTTCAACAAGCATCACTCAACACATTACTCAAAACATATTGGTACTCCTTTTTAGGAATTACCCTAAGTTAGCTTGTAAACCATACAAGAAAATCAATTTTGTTATTTTATACTTCAACCTTAACTTTAAACCAAAAATCTTCTACTAATTTGATAACTTATTTAGTAGACTTGGTTCCAATAACTTTTGGATATTTCAAAAAAATATTTCCTCCTCAAAATGCAGACATTTCTCTCTATTCAGAAGAATATACCAGATCTCTGAGAGGCAATTTCAAAACAGAAGCTCCAAAAACACTTCAAGCAATGGTAGCCTCATTGTACATAGCAGACAAAGATGGATCCTTTAATGGGAACAACATTTAAATGGATGGACAAGTTCTGATGTATTTCTTTTTTAAAAATCAGTCTCATCACCATACAGTAACTTTATATGCACATATTTTGTATTGACCTGTGTTTCATCAGTACGGGAAATTCCTAGAATAGGAACTTCCTTTAGAGAGTCAAATTAGCAGTTTGTCTGCAACTTTAGTTTTACAGAGTTTGCAGAAACACAAAAAGACTGCACTTAGTCTATCACACAGTAAATATGTTATCAGAGGCAAGACCTGAAGTGAGGTCCCATCTTTCTAGCCACATTGTATATTACTCCTCCACTCTGTGCCCTCCCCCAGCAGGGGGGCCCCCTCTTGCCCTCCCCTGCCATGTGATCCAGCCAAACTGGCTTTTTCTCTATTTCTCACACTTTAACACTCTCGCATCCAATATCCATGTCTTTGCACTGCACATCTCACATGTCTTATGCACTGCTTCAATACTGCCATCTCAAAAAGACTCCCTCTTTTTCCTTTAAGATGAACTACCCTGGTAAGTTAGCTATTTTGTATGAACTTACATTTCATCACTTTTTATCCATGGTGTCTACATTTATATGTATTTATTGTCTCCTCCATTACAATATTAGCTTGATAAAAGTAGAGATTGTTTTATTATTTGTAGTCATATACCCAGCACCCAATATAGTTCCTGGCAATTCTTAATAGGCACTCAATAAATGCTTGTTGATTTATTCATTGATTTTCTGACTCTAAGTACTATCTACTTTATTATGCTGCCACTCCAAATCTTTTATATACAACAGAAAAATGAATGGCTCATAAAGTTGGCAATAAATCAAAATCACCGTTTCTCCCCAAAGTTTAAAAATCCAATTGTGGACACTGAAAACTGGAAATTATTACCAATAGTGACAGAAGTGGAGAGATTTTTTTAAAAAGGATATAGTTTATCTGAGGCTGGGGATCATGCCATATTTACCACTGTATATCTAACAACAAAAGTGTCAAATTTAGAGCCCTTTGTGACTCACGAAATTCCCAAGTGTGGCCAGACTGCAATGCAAATGGACTAAATGTAATTGGGAATTGTTTAACAAAATAAATAAAAATACATAATAATGTTACATAACAAATAATGTTAATTTGTGGTTTTCTGAGTGAATATGTGGCCAGCAAGGATGCATTTCTATTTGAGTTTGATATCATTCAGCTAAACTATCTAGACAGTCAGTACTGAATATGTGTTTAACAAATGAATAAACAGATTTAATTTGAAGAAAGAAAGAAGTGCAGTGTTTATCTTTGGTCATAGGTTTAACATAAGTGAATACACAAAAGCTATTATGATGCTTCTGTGCTTCATCCTCTCTTTGGACAATGTTAGCTAAAATTATTTTGTTGATCTTAATTCTCTAAATGAAGAAATGGCTTCAGGCATTTTCAGAGGGATCAAAAACAAAAAGGAAAGTAATGGCACTGTATCTGCCTGCAAAAATACTCCTGGTTTCAGGGACTTGACATGTTATTGTTATTTGGAGAGAGGGCCAGACAAGGAGTCAGGAAGACTCAAATTAAAATCCTGCCTCTGATATATGCTAGCTGTGTGACCATAAACCAGTCACTTCAATTTACTGCCAAGCAATTATCTGAGACTGTTAAGTTACGCAGTCTGCATAGATCCCTATCAGTAAAAGGCATTCCCTCAACAATGATGAAGTTCCAAGTCCTGACTAAAAAAGAAAAGTAACTCTTTTCCCCTTCCCCCCCAAAGACTTTTGATTATACTTTCTCAGCTCTTAAGGAACTTAATTTTCATTGCTGTCATCTTTCACAAACGTTGAATAAACAGATTTTTTTAAAATAGCACCACACATGTAAACAAGGTTATATATTATTAAAACCTACAATGTTACCTTATTTTAATGTTTTTCTTAGAAGGCAAACTCTGATCTAAAACTGATTTAATCATAAATATTAATCTTACATCTTCCTCTTTGATAGCACTGTATTGTGTGGGACATGGTTTCTTCAGAATTTCCTCCCATTGACCATCTTCAATCAGCTCTTGGTCTACCTCTTGAACAGGCAGATCCTAAATCAAAACAAAGTACACTGAAAGAAAATATCACTATATAGAAATTGTACTATGCATCAACATCACTGGGAATACAGTTTCATAGGTTTTAATACTTCTACTCAGCCTACCATTTGGGGCATGGATTACTCCTTCCGCCCAAAAACCCCAAATAAATCTGGTATTATAACAAATAAGGAACATCTGGTTCATTATAGCAAGTTAAAATGTGCCAATTTTGGGCAGCTAGGTGGTGCAGTGGATAGAGCTCTGGCCTTGGAGTCAGGAGGACCTGAGTTCAAATCTGGCCTCAGACACTTGACACTTACTAGCTGTGTGACCCTGGGCAAGTCACTTAACCCCAACTGCCTCACCAAAAAAATAAAAGTGCCAATTTCATTCTCTCAAATACAGGAAAGAAGGAAGCAAGGAAGGAAGGAAAAGAAGGAAGGAGGGAGAGAAGAAAGGAAGGAGGAAACAAGCATTGATTAAGTGCCCACTATATACTAGGCACTATGCTACGTGCTTTACAAATGTTATTTCATTTAAACCTCACAACAACTTTGTGAAATAGGTGCTATTATTCCCATTTTACAATCCAGGAAACTGAGGCAGACAAGGCTAAGTGACTTGCCCAGGGTCACACAGCTAGTGTCTGAGGCCATATTTGAATTCAGGTCTTCCTGACTCCAAGCCCAGGGTTCTAATCTTTCACCCAGCTATCTCCAGTTGTTTAAGTAAAACCTTTAGAAAAATAAATTAAGGAAAAAAAAGATGTAATCTTCCCAAAACCAATATAAATAAATCTACGACTGGATATTCTATCCTTTCTACTGTCCAATCCAATCCAACAAATATTAAACACCCACTATATGAAAAGCACAGCGCTAGGTACTGGGATCACAAAAACAAAAGTTAAATAGTTCCTGTTCTTCAGAAGCTTATGTTTAATTGGGAGCATATAACATGAGACACAGGACAGCCAGGTAGCACACTGGATAGAGTACTAGTCCTGGAGTCAGGAAGACTCAATTTCCTGAGTTAAAATCTGGCTTCAGACACTGACTAGCTGTGTGACCCTGGGCAAGTCACTGAACCCTGTTTGCCTCAGTTCTTTATCTGTAAAAAGAGCTGGAGAAGAGAATGACAAACCACTCCTGTGTCTGTCAAGAAAACCTCAAATGGGGTCACAAAGAGTCAGACAAGACTGAAAAAGACTGAACCACAAAACACACTACATAAATAGGCAATTACAACATGACTTCTTAAGATAAAGTAGTTGATATGGCTACAGACAGGGCAAGAGCCCTTAAGCGATTCAATTTAATCAAAATAGGGTAATCATCAGACTAAAAGACCTTGAGTTCATTTCTAATAAGCTGAAAAGAAGAATCCTTGGAAGGAATAGTCACGGAAGAATTAAGAAACTGGTTCTTCAAGGACAAGGACCAAAAGTAATTATTGTTCTATCTGATGAAACAAAATGTTAGCCCTGAACTGTGTGACTGTTTTATTATATGAAATGTCCCTGTTCAAGAATCCTATGTTACCTCAAAATGTATTGAAAGATATTTGGGAGCATAAGGGATTCTGGCAGTTTGGACATTTCTCCCTGAATAATATGGTTTGAATTTAAAATAGTCAAATTAATGAAAATTATTTCAGAAAAGCTTGTGCCTATAACAGAGTACAATATTTTTTTCTTTGACAGAACTCTTCCCTTCCTCTTTCATTCCCTACTTTCTGAAACCTTAGACCTAAAAGTAAATTTGTTACAGGAATGGCAATGGTGGGGGGTTATTATCAAATCAAGGAATATTAGAGTGCAACTCTCTTTAGAGGCAGGCACCTCTATCACCGAACCCTGTATAAGACCACGTAGCAGGGTAAAGGACAGGGAGTGATACAGGTTGCCAGTTTCTGTGGCTTCAGTCAAGGGATACTTCTGTGATAGAATTTAAATAAATGTAGTACTTCATAATGCCACATTTTCCCTATAATAAGTTAGAAGCAAGTATGGTGAATATAAAGAGTTCTACATTTGGAGCCAGAGGGCCTGAGTTCAAGTCCCATTTCTTGTTATTTACTGCCTACATGACCTTAGGTAAGTCACTAAACGTCCCTGGGTCTGTTTCCTCATCTGTAAAATAAGGAGGTTGAACTGAGTTTGCTTCAGTTCTAAATATATGATACTTTAAAATACTATGCCTAACTGTAAAGTTTTTCAAAGTGTGGAGGTATGCCCCTCTGCAGTGATGCAAAACCTGGGTGTGGGGGTGAAGCATTGACCAAAATTATTTAATTTTTTTGTATAATTACCACACAAGTAATCCACTTTTAAAAACTGAAAAAGTTCAAATCAAAGAAAATACAGATTATAGAAAATATTCTTTAATTAGCAATAAATGAAAAGTGGCAATTCTTTAACATACCATGCACAAAGTCAAATTTGAGTTGGTGTTGAAAACTGACCTCAGTATAATCTATCACCATTATAAGCTGCTAGTGGTATTTGAATACCTGTTTAAATTTGAAATTAAACCATCTTTTGTGCAAGTTAAAAGTACTATAATATCTATTATATTTTAACATCATTTTAACTATGATATAAGTTGGTTTCCAAATAATTCTGCAATTAAAAAGTTGAAAAAAAAACTTAAGAATTATAGTTGGTCTGAATGGTTTGAAATTTGCAACAAATTTAAGTGTCTTACATATTTTGCTGTCTTTAATTTTTGTACAAATAAAACAATATCCCTTCATGATGGAAAGCAACTGTTTTAAAACAAAAACCCATGAAAATAGCAGAAAATTTAATAATGGTGATAGCTTAAAAATTTAAATTAAGTAAAGAAATGAAGGGGAAAAAAGCAACAAGCCCAAATCCAGAATACATGATTCACTGTATTTATCATAAAGATTCACAAGAACTGTTGCTGATGGAAAGAGCACTGGGTTTGAATGATTAATACTTTAGCTTCAAATAATATAAAACCTAATTAGTTAAAATAGCTTGAAAGTATAGCTGTGCAACATTTCGGCAAGACAAGAAAATTTTTCCAGAGAAAATCAATATTCTTAGTAGAGAAAAATATTTAAAAAAACGATGTCTGTGACAGCGAAAGAACTGCTTACACAGTATGTCAGTGATTATAAAATCGCTAAGTGTAAAAAAAATAGGAGAAATTTGGTATCATTTTATGATTTTGATATGAATGAAATGGACAAATTATGCACAAAACAAATTTGACTTCATTTGCAGTCCATTTGCTGTTTCTTGTGCCTGGAACATACTCTTAAAAGTTCTGTGTCCACAAAATCCCTTCCTTCCTTCAAGATGCAACACTTATCTCCTGGTTTTTCCCTTTTATTCTGATTCTTCTTTCACAGCATGACTAATGTGGAAATGTTTAACATGATTGTACATGAATAACCTATATCAGATTCTTGCTGTCTTGGAGAGGGAGGAAGGAAAGGAGAAAAATTTGGAACTCAAAATCATACAAAATTGAATGCTGAAAACTATCTTTACATGTAATTGGAATAAATAAAATACTATTAAGTAAAAAGAAAAAAGAAACAAGAAACGACAAGGGGTTTGGTTTTGGAAGAAACATGGCAAGACTTTTACGAACTGATGCAAAGTGAAGTGAGCAGAACCAGACCATTGCACACAGTAACAGCACTATTGTAATGATGGTCAACTGTGAAAGACTTAGTTACTCTGATACATATAATGATCTAAGACTATTGCAAAGAATTCGTGAGAAATGCCATCTACCTCCAGAGAAAGAACTGATAAACTCTGAGTACAAGTAGAAGTATAGTTTTCTTTCTTTTTTTTTTTTTTTGGCAATATGGCTAATATGGAAATATATATTGCCAATTCATTCCACATTATAATTGATATATTGCACACCTCAGTGGTTGAGGGATGTGTAACAGGGAGGGAAAGAATTTGGAACTCAAAATTTTTAAAACAGAATGATAAAAATAAATAGTAAAAATTTTTAAAAGAAAAACAGAATATTAGCAAGTTATTAACGAGACCAGCCATGTCTACCCTGCTATGACTCCTTTCAAGGAAAATTTCCTTTTTCCAGAATCATTTTTATAGTCGCTCTCATAAGGGACTTTCTGAAAGATAGTTGGTAGAATGCTGCTTTGTGATGCTTTTAAAGGTCAATGTCACACAAGCCTTGAGCTAAGTTACTGTTGATAAAGATAAGCACAAAATAGGAGTGGTGACTACCACTGCTACCAGAATAATCTCGGATATGGTCAGTCATAATAACTAAATGAAATGCAATGTATAAATATGTGCAGAATCTGTCTTTTAGCAACTTCTAATTATAAAGAACTTATAATATCCATTGTCTCATTTTATTGAAAATGTGTAAGTTAAATTAAAATCTTCATTTAATTTCATAGCAAAATGTTATTTTTAAAGAAATTTGTGGGATATATTTGATTTATGAATGTTTATATATGTACATATGTAAATACATGTATATACATACCAAAAAAAGATGAAACACCTACTATATGCCATAATACACACCATACTAAGTGCTTTACAAATACTATCTCATGTAGATTCATAACTCTGAAACAGATACTCTTATCTATTTTACAGATGAGGAAACTGAGGCCCACAAAGGTTAGGTGACTTGCCCCGGGGCCCTCAGTATTAGAGGTAGGATTTAAACTCAGGTCTTCCTGACTACAGGCCCAGGGTACTATTGTGCCACCTAATGACACCCTTCCAGATTTTCACAAATGTTAGTTCCTTCAATCCCAAACTACTCTATATGTAAGTACTTGGTTTTTTTATATTACATATATACTTGCATATGTACTTGTCTCCCTATATGGCTCCTTCAAAAGACATTATTTCATCTTTTGATCACTGATTGCACACGTTAGAGTGGGAAGAAACTTCTCATTTCTAAACACCTCAGTAATCAAATGAGAAACATAAATCTTTCAATTTTGTATTTTAAGTAGATGAAACATGCATAATTAAAGATGGATTATCTATTCAATATATTGGTGAAGCCAATGCTATGGAAATCTGCTTATCCTGCAAACCTAATAATAACAATGCCACAAGAAAAAATTTCCAACTGATAGATTTAAAAAAAAATGATATAGTGTGGGATAATGTACTGCATTCTATGCCAATGGAGCTCTACTGATGTCCGGATATAACAATGGTCTAGCAAAAAGGGTCTCGAGAGGTGATCTAATCCAACCCTCCTGCCAAGTATTAAGTGGCAGGGCCAAGAATCAAATTCATTTCCTATCACTGCAAATTATGGGCTCTTTCCTGAGTCTAAAAGTAAAAGTTGAAAGTTGTTCTCCTCATAGTCAGAACATATTGCATGTTTCATAATCACTTGTACCGAGAAATATGAGGGTGTAGCTCCCTTTTCAAGTATGAGAATAAAAGACTAACAGTCTGTTTAAAAAAAAAGTGGCTTGTTTTTTTTACAAAATTATGAGAAAATTTAGAGGTTAAGAACAAGGTTTTTGTATAGCAGTAGTTCTCAGTCTTGATCATGATCCCAGGGGGTCACTGAAACCCTTTCAGGGAGTCCACTTGGTTAAAACTATTTTCACAGTAACACTAAGATATTTTTACCTTTTAAAACACTCCTCTTTTCCAACTACACACCTGTGTGATTTTCTTCATAAACTTCCAACTAAAACAATATAACACAATAGGTTGAATGCAGAAGCAGATGAGACTCCAGTTGTCTTGCATTAAACCAGACACTAAAGAGATTTGAAAAAATATGTAAAATAATACCATTCTTCACTTAATTTTCAGATGTTATTTTTCGTGAAAATGTTAACATGTAATGATTTTACTGTTAATATTTAAATTTTTAGTTTTAATTTCTAATCCCATAAATATCGATAATCTATATTAACAAAATCTCTATGGAAGTCTTTAATAATTTTAAGAGTGTACTGGAGTCCTGGAACCAAAAAAGTTCGAGGACCTCCATTCTATAGTCCTGTGAAACTGTCTGGCTTTGTCATGAGGAAACACTCTTAAGGTTGTTTGAGCAATTTCTGTTCTTGGGGCTTGGGGGGGGGGGGTGCAGTAAAATAATAAAGATGAAGCAAATCCATCTCACAAATTTTTTTTCCTGAAGCTTTTATACTTGGTGGAATGCTATAAAAAACTTAGAACCCCAAATAAATTAATGCCAGGTCAAGTTAATATGCTGATCAAGAGATGAAGTCCCTGCTCTTTTGAAAAATTTAGAACTATAAATTTACAAAATATTTTCATGTTTTCCAATTTTTAAGATAACTGCCCTGAAAATGAACTAGAAATAGACATACTTATTAATCACTTAACTAGTCTACAAAAGCCCATTCACAGAAGGCAATTGTGACACACTGGCTCTTCATCGGAATAAGAACAGCTGATATACACCAGTCCTGTGATGGTTCATCTTTTTTCTTAGAAAGTCTCCAGTCTTTATTAGTTAAAGTGTTTCCTTATGAATCATACAAAACATTTTAAACATAAACGGTCATCTTCTTAAGGATTTTTTTTTGAGGAAAAAACCCTCACTTAAGGTTGTTTTTCTCAACCAATATTTAATTGAAAAATATTTACAGTACAGTAAGAGAAATGATACAATGTTGAGAGACATTATGCTTCATGATTCCGGGTTCTGTCTGTATTAAGAGGGGGCTTCTTGGGGAGTCGCCGAACTTAATCACAGGCGGCGGGCGTCAGTCCTGGATTTTAAGAATGCACCTCTTTTCTAGGTCATTCATTTCCTTCAGGATCAAGGCAACGTTGTACCTTAGTTCTTGAAACTTGGCTACAGGCACTTCAAACCGATGCGCCTTCCCGTCCGAGAGCTTCAGCTGCATCAGGATGGACGGCTGCAGGGAGCGGGCCAGCGAGCTGGTGGAGATGGCCACGTCCACCCTCCACCTGAAGTCCGCCACCGTGGGCAGCCGGGCGCCCCGCTCGCGCGCCAGGCCGTCCAGGTCGGGGCGCCGGCCGCCGAAGACCACGTTGGCGAAATCCGTCACAAACTCGTCGGGCACCTGGAGCTGCTGCAGGTCTTCCCTGAAGGCGTCGGGCTTGAGGGCGGACGCCGGCAGCCGCAGGGCCTCCCGAAGCAGCGCGTACATGCCCGCGACCACGGCGCCGAGCTGCGCCTCCGACAACGGCGACGAGTCCACGAGACGCCGCGTGGCCTCCCGGCAGTCCTCGCCCTGCAGGGCGCTCACCACCACCTTCAGCAGCTGCCGGAACAAGTCCCTGTCCAAGCCCCGCAGCTGCCGGGCCATGGCCTCCACCGCGGCCGGGGGACGGGGGCCCAGGAAGCTCCCCCGGCTGCCCTGCCCGTCCCCGGCGGGGGGCAGGTAGGGAGCCGCCGCTTTCAGGCCGCGGCCTGCAACCGTCCCTGCCGCTGACATGGCCACCAGCGCCCCAGCAGCCTGCGGTGAAAGGAGCAGAAGTCTACAGCCTGAGAAGCGGCAGACCCGAGCGAGGCGGGGAGGGAAGAGAGGGACGGCGCGTACAACGTCCGGAAGCCCCGGATGCAGCTCTCCCGAGGCGGGGCGGGGAAGCAGCAGAAGAGGGGCAGCCAGACTGCAGCCCCCTCGCGGGCGGAGGGTAGAGTGCATGCAAGTCCCGCCTGGAGCTGTCCGCCGGTCACGTGTCCTTCTCTGACTCCCTGGCTGCGCTGCCCCAGCAGCCTGAGTGATGCATTAAAACACTCTAGTGCACCAGAAAATCTTAATGTTCGGGCTCTCGGCAAATAAAGAGCTCTGTAGTTTATCAAATCAAATAATGCCAGTTTTGCTGACGTTAATAAGGTCTTATTTGTGTAAAACTAAAAAATAGTCAACATTTACAATACGGCTTACTATGTACCATGTACTGTGCTTTCCAATTATCTTATTTGATCTTCACAACCCTGGGAGGTTAAGGCGCTATTATCATTCCCATTTACCTCCCAAACTGAGGTAAACAAGTTAAGTGACATGCTCAGGGTCATATTGCTAGTAAGTGGATGAGGCTGCATTTGAACTCTGGTCTTCCTGACTCCGGGCCATACTGCCGCCTAGCTGACCCCCAAAAAAGAATGAGTAACAATATCAATGACACTATATTTTTGAGAAATTGCACCAAAAAACAAGTCCACTCATCACAATAATAACATTATGGTTACTAATATAATCATTTTAGGTTATTTAAATAAAATATCCATTTTTAGGTTTTTGAGATTTGTTCATTGCTATAAAATTGTTAACATATTTTAATTTTATTTTAATAAAATATGAGATACAGGTAATGCATTGGTTTATTTTGTGAAAAATGGTTTTGTTTTGTAAGAAAGGCAAGCATTTCTTATATGAAGTTTGGAAATCATTGCCTTTAAAACAATGTGCATCCAAGATACCTTCTTATTAAGTATTATAACTAGTTAAATTTTTAAATGACAGTAATTAAATTTAAAATCAACAAAGACAAAGCAAATTTTGTCACTAGAAAACTTTTACCTCTTCTCCTATTATTGTTAGTTTGGGGAACTTCTGTGCCAGTGAAGAACATATACTCATCTGCACCAATCGGTCAGCTTTGGTTTGTAGATCTACTGAGGATGTCTACAAAAAAGGATGAAAATTATTGTGAAAAAGTTACCTCCACTGTGAGCAGTTTTTAGTCTATATCCTGTAGTAGTGCATACTGTTTCTATCTTTGAAATGACCCTACAAATTCCCATAATTTCTCTCTACTTGGACCATCCCCAATTTTCCTACCCCATCTCCTTTTGTTTCATAGTAGGATTCAAAGCATCTTGGGAGTTCAAAGGAACTGAGATATAATCTAATCAAACATCTATTCCCAATACTGAAATCCTTTCTACAGTATTCCTGGTGTCAACCAATGTTGGCTTGAACTTTCTAGTGATGGGAAACTTAGTATCTACAAGGAAGCCTATTCTACTCTCTAGGGCCCCCTCCCTTTTTCAGCCTCCTTTTGTGTAACTGACTTCCCCCATTAGACAGTAAGCTCCTCGAGTGCAGGGAATGTTTTTTCTTTTTCTTATCTGTATCTCCAGCTTGCAAGGGATGGGAACCAGGAATAGGGCATCAGGCAACACAGGACATGAAGTAGAGTATGGATGATGATCTGTAGGAGTTCAGAATCACCAGGATGTGGAGGGTATGACCAGGCAGGCATTTGTTAATCATTAAGTGAAAAAATTTAGAGAGATTTTCAAAGTCAAGGGTGGAATCCTTTCAGTGCTTGGGCAGTTCAGATTGAGGGGGTAAGAACTTGGATAAGGAGTGGTGATACCCTTCTTTCCTCTCCTCCTGTATACTCTCACCTCTCTAGGTTTTCATGACACTGACTTCTGCTGGTTCTCCTCATATCTGCTTGACCACTCTTTTGATTTTTCTTTGCTGGATCTTCCTCCTCTAACAGTGGGTGTTGTCCCCTGCCATCTCCGCCCCGCCCCCCCCCCCCCCAGCTCCTGGATCTTCTTATAATTTTCCATTATAGTTTTCACATTCATCCCACATATCCAATCATTCTGTTGCCAAATCTTATTGTTTTACCTTAACATCTCTCATATATGTTGCCTTTTCTCCACTCTTGTGGAGTGGAGAGCTACTGCCCTTGTATAGGCCTCATAGCCTCATGCCCAGAATCCTACAACAGAGTGTTAACTGGTCTCCCTGACTCAAGTTTCTCCCCACCAGTCAACTGTCAGTGATTTTTTTTCAAGCACAGGTCTCACCATGTCACTCCTCTACTCAATAAATTCCAGTGTTTCCTTATTACCTCCTGGATCAAACAGAAAATCCTCTATTTGACATTTGAAGCCCTTCATGACCAGGCCCCTTCCAGCCTTCCCATTCCTCCTCAAGTTTGGCCCTTTGAACTGGCTTTAATTGAGGACCTAGAGGGCCATATGTGGCCTTGAGGCCCAAGTTCCCTACCCCTGATACCCCTTTCTTCCCCTATGCTCTCTACAATCCAACTATGTACAGTTCCTCACACACACACACACACACACACACACACACACACACACACACACAGACACACACAGACATTTCCCAAATGTCTTTTCACTGGACACAATGGCTGGAATGCTTCTCTCCTCATCTCTGACTCCTAGGCTCCCTAGCTTCCTTCAAGACTCGGCTTGAATCCTACAAATCCTACTTTATACAGGACCCTTTCCTAGACAACCCCTCCCCTGACTCCCCTTACCTCTGAGACTTCCTTCCATTTTATAATTCATTCTCCCTCCCTCCCTCTTTTCTTCTCTCTCTCTCTCTCCATAAACATATATAATACATGATAAAGAGAAATATGAAAATATATCAATACACACATATCACATGTATTACATACACATACCATATGTGTACATAGTTATTTGCATGTTATCTCCCTCACTAGCATATGAGCTCCTGGAGATCAGGGACAGTGTTTTTTGCCTTTCTTTGTATCCCCAGCACTTAGCACAAGCCTGCCTAGTACATAGCAAGTACTTCAAAAATAACTGTTACCTAACTGCCTTCTTCAATAAGTTCTAAATCACCCTCTGCACACTGAATGTTATACCTAGAGCATACTTCAAATAGTTCAGTTTCTTCTCTCTTCTCTTTTGTTTTTTTCTCTTCTTTCTTTACCTCTCTTCCATCTGTGTTACCTTTTCTTATTCACAAGCCTCTGGACACTAGTATCAATTGCCCTCTTTGTGTAATTTTATTTTCTGCCTCCTTCTTAGAATATTTCTTATTTCCTCTCTAATAACTTTGACCACAGAAGGCTGATTCTCAAGTCCATTCTTTTTTTGGTCTCTTCTAGCAGGGAGACTGCTTTGCTTTTGCAGCACAGCAAATTAATTGGTGACTACAATAAGCAGGAAGACTCACATAGCACAGAGTACATCTCTTTAAATCACTGGAATAAAGCCTTTTGTGACCACACTTCAAAAGTACCAAGTTGAATAACATTTCTTGATCATTTTCCCCTATAAACTGCCATTGGAAATTCTATTCCCATTCAATTTAAGTTTTATTTTCATGCATTTTTAATAGTCTGGCTTCCTATTTTAAAATTTAAAAGTGGATGATGTTAATGTTTTACATTTTAAATATAAATTCATTTTTCAAAACATAACACAAGTATTTTTATATTTTTTTTTTGTTTCTGCATTACCCTCAGTTGATATTTTTCCCTTTGAGTCAGTGGCCCTTGTTAGAAGTAAGTTACTCTTTAAAATATTACCTAATTGAACTGAGTTACTATGGTCCAATCTGACAACAGAAGAGTGGTTTGGCTATTAGCAGAATCTGTAACTATAAATTTATACATTTGGTATCTCTCTTCCACATCGATAAAACGTTAAATATTAACCTACATTCCAAAATTTGCTTACACAGACAAAGGTATGATACAGTACTCAACAAAGTTTACTGTAGTTTAAGGAAAGGGTATATTTATTAGAGTCACAGCAATGCTTTAGTGGTGCCTTCCTCTATTAGGTCAGTAAGTCAACTAGCATTCATTAAGTGCTTACTATATGCCAGGCACTGTGCTAAGTCAGGGATACAAATAAAGGCAAAAAACCAGTTTCTATACATTTGTGCTTAATGGTATTGATGGAGTACTTGGGTGCATGTGCTTGTACTTGGACCCCAATTTCTCCCTAGTCTCAGAAACATTGTCTCTGACAATCACTCCTCAGCCCAAGGACACTATGCCTAGCAATTACTCATGCACGCACCCCAGCAACACCCTTATCTCTTCCTGGTGCAGCTACACAAAGCTGGGTGAGAGAGTGCTGGGCTGCTCAGGCCCCAGCCCTCAGATCATTGGAAGCGTCCCATTTCCTTAGTAAGCTCCTGTCTTGCGAGAAAGCTTTCCCTTGTTGCAGAGCATTCTCTAATTAGGATGGGGGGGTGTGTGTCTTGGCTGGCCCAAGGAATTTTGTCCTTGGCTGGCCCAAGGACTCTTCCTCCTGCCAGACTCCCAAGACCCATGCCTCTGACATCTCCCTCCTTCTCTGGTATACTCCCTACACTTTCCCATCCACAGCTCCCAAAGACACCTGGACCTTTAGATTACCTAATCAGTATCCCTGGCATTCTTTTCTCATGCCCTTTTCCATATAAACCTTAGCTCTATTCTCAGTCTCTCACAGGTTCCTTAAGAATGCTTGCCCACTGAAAAGCGTAACAATAAACTTTTTACCACCTTAATTTGAAGAATGCTTGAGTCTGTGAATTCAATCTAGACGACCCTGTCCTGTACTCCAGTCTTTGAGGTGGCTCAACCTCTCAGACTGAAACAGTATAATATTATTAAGACTAAATATAGATGAAGGAAATATAAGAATATTTTAAAAGTTGAAATACATGCACAGAGATAGTTCTTGTAACTAACTGCTACTGTAATTATTGTCCCAATTTGTAACTATTGTATTAGAAAGAAAAATACAGTAAGGGGACTATGGATTATACTGCATCATCAAGGGACTCTGAGGACCAATCAGAGATGGACAAGTACTTGGTAACTGTCACATTTTATTAGAATGGTCACATTTAACAAGGATTATATGAGAAATAACAAAATATTAGCTATAAAATAGGGTTTGAAATATATTAATGAGGGCTAGTGACAATCACAAGGGCGAGTGGTCTAAGTCGAAGGCAGGGCTCTAAGAATGGTGGGATCATCTATCTAGAGCTGGAATGGATCTTATAGGCCAACTAGCCCAACCTCTTCATTTTATGGGTAAGGACACTGAGATGCAAGAAGGTTACGTGTCCATGACTGAAAAGGTAGTGAGCGTCAGAAGCAGGGTTTGAATAAAGGTACAGTGTTTGAACACTGTTCACAACTAAAACTTAAGCAAGCCACATATAAAGTGTAAGACTTTCAACTGTTCCTTCAATGAAGATCAAATGGTAGAGTATATGTAAAGTGCTTTGGAAACAATGCACTCTAGCTACTATTACTGCCTCATATATGAGACACAAAGCTGTTACACATTCCTAATAAAAAACATGTTATTTTTGACTACTAAATTGTCAGAATTGATTACTTAGCTGGAGCAAAGTGAACACAAAATTAAGAAGAAATGAGATGTAACTTAGTACCTTCTCCACGATTCCAAGATCACCCCCAGCCATCACACTTCTGACTATCATTCCAGCTTTCTGAGCAATAGAATATGCTGAAGCAACCAAACGAATCAAGACAGCTGGACTGGAAGCCATGATTAACACTGAAAAGAAGTCAAGAAAAGCTTCCTGTTAATACACAGAGGCAATATAAACTTCCAATTTCACTTATTCCAATATCTGCATGAAGGTGTAGAATTGAATTACATACAGTATAAGTTCTGGCAGAAACCCATTATCCCCAGTGTTTTACAACAAAAAGATTATCTATCTACTAGCACATGTATATAACTTTAGTAGTTCCCAAATGAATCCAAGCCATTTAGTTTTTTACTCAACTCACTTGTACTTTTTCTTTCAGACTTTTACATCAGTCTGATTTTCATGTAAAGATGATAATCTTTCAGTGCCTTAGTAGTTCATTGAGCTCCTGAGTTGCTAGTCAAGTCTACAAGTATTTATTAAGTGCCTATTAGATGCCAGGCACTGCGCTAATTAATGGAGGATTCAAAGTGAAGCAACTCTTGGTCCCTGCTGTCAAGGAGCCTCAAGTCTAAAATGAGATATAATCAGGATAAATTGGAGGCACTCTCAGAAGGAAGGCATTAGCATTAAGGGGACTGAGAAAGGCTTCCTGCAGAAGAGCAAAACTTTACCTGAGTCTCTAAGGAAGCCTGGGCCAAAGAAAGCTTATTACTTGGTTTTCAACCTTCTGGTAATTATAGGATTATCAGATTTTACAGGTAGGAGGGATATTAGAGATCATCTATTCAGTTTCCTTCTTTGAAAGATGAGGAAGCTAACATGAAAGGAGGTTAAGTTAAGGGAGTATTTGCTCAAGGTTCCCCTTGTATTAAGTGATAGACCTTGATGAACTTCCAATTTAGGGAGGCTGGTTTTTAGATAACAGACAACTCAATCCATTTCAGGGCCTGGAATTGAAGCATTTTCCACTTAGGAGATGTGCCAGAATTTGTGCTTTCAAATCCAGATCTACCTCCATGCCAGGATGAGGCGCTCAAATGAGACTTTAGTGGAGGTTGACTAACAAAGTTTTTCTCAAAGTCAAGTTACTGCTGCTTTGGAATCTAATACATCTTTCAAGGTTTACTTACTTGCTGTTTGTGTTTTTAAAAGAAATCATGATTTTACAAGAAAATATATCTATATATATATATATATGTAGATATATTTTTAGTGAGGCAATCAGGGTTAAGTGACTTGCCCAAGGTCACACAGCTAGTGAAAATATATTTCAATATGGATTTTACACTGGGATAATACCTACAGTAGATATAAATGACCTGCAATTTCTTAAGCACACCAAATTCCCAGACTATAACTCCTTCTACCAATAAAGACATCTTCCTGTGTGATTTAGTAGAAAAGTTCTAGGGAATTGTATGAGATAGATGCAGTCTAGTAAGTTACGAAAGGCCCAAAGAATTTAAGTGACTTGTCTGGGCTCCCACAGCTAATAAGTGTGATAGAGGAGGGATTGGAACCAATCTTTCTGATGCTGAATTCAGCAATGTATTCATTAATCTATTTTGTCCCTAGGTTATTACTGTTCAGTCATTTTAGTTGTGACTAAGTCTTCATGACTCTTAGCAAAGATACTGGAGTGGTTTGCCATTTCCTTTTCCATCCCATTTTACAGATGAAGAACTGAGGCAAACAGTGTTAAGTGACTTGCTCAGGATCACACAGCTAATAAGTATCTGAGGCTGGATTTGAACTCAGGAAGATAAGTCTTCCTGGATCCAGGCCTGGCACTCTATCCACTGCATCACTTAGCTGTCCTACTTTATCCCTCTACAATACATTAGATACTGGGAATTTAAGGTTAAGGTACAGAATTTAACAGCGATTTGCTTTTAAGAGGATGCATAGATCATAGATAGGAATAGAGCTCCATAGCTAAGAGTAGCCTCACAGGTCATATAACCCAATCTACTCATTTTGGATATGGAAAATTAAATTCAGAAAAACTAATTGATTTGTCCAAGACCACACAGCCAGAAAGCATACAGATACAGGATTCAACACTAAGTCTTCTGACTCTAAAGTCAGAACTCCTTCCATAGCACACCATGATGCTTTTCTTCCCCCTTATCTATAGCCAGGCAAAGGAAAATAACAATATGAAAACTAAAGAGAAGTCAAAGTCTTTGGGGAAATTACGTGGTTTTTCCCATTAGAGAGTCACAGGAGGGACAATTAGGTGATGGCCCAGAAGAAAGAAATAAACAGCTTCCAGGAGTAAGTATCTATGTCTTTCAAAAAAAACTCTGATTAGCTGCAAGGCAGGGAGAAATCCAAGGTAAAGTTTGGACAAATCATTCCTGCACACACTCCGCCCCCTACACACAGACACAGAGACACACACACACATACAAACTTAATAATATATGTTTACTGAATTGAATCCTCTAATTTAAGCCTCATTATTCTCTCTTCAACTTCTCTTGACCCTAACATTACAATGAAGCAGACACAGAACAGAATTGAGAATGACTGCAGAACTGAGTTCTTGTCCTTCCACAAGGAGAATTAACTTCCTGGTGTCTTAGTTTTTCCAGCAATAAAATAAGGACAGTTATTAATAATGCTCTTGATAGTTCATGTTTAAACAGTGCTTTAAAGTCACAGGATCATACAATTTAGAGCTAGAAGGAACCTTCAAAGTCAAGTTTATTCTATAGATGAAAAAAATGAGGCCCAGAGTGATAATGTGGCCCACATGTAGGAAATACCCCTTATTCCAAATCAAATGATCCTACCACTCCACCTCACCGTATTTACAAAGCATTTTCTGTATTCGACATAGAACTGTGAAAATGATAAAACATGAAGTGCTTGAAAGTCCTCTTAAGGACAAACAAGATAGGAAAGCTGTACAGCTCTGTTTGTTTTCACTTTATTTCAATTTCAAATACAATCAACAGCCTCTCCTTTCTCTTTTACAGTTTACAACATGTATGGCACAATGCTTAGAACAGATGTTATAACTATTACTAATTTAGAAACTATTTAAAAACGGAAAACAGGAAAAAGTGCACGAATGTGATTTGCCTTCCCAGTTTGGTTCACACAAACCTAAGAGTCTCGTTTGAATACAAAAGAATTCTTCCAATCTCTAATTTGCAACACACTTTGGTCTGCAACACTCGGAATTTTTAAATGTGTGCTGCTGTTTTGTCCTTATGTTACTCAACATTTCTATTTGTTAAAGGTAGACCAGTTTCCTTTACTGTATTGTTAACTTTGACAGGTATTCATTACCTTTGAACTCATTAATCATTTAGGCCTTACCAGTCCTCACCTAAGACTTAGCTACCTTCCCACAAGTGTATAAAATTGTTATTTCTTCCAAAGAAAATATGTTAATCATTTTCCTTTCCTTTCCCACCACCAGTTGAACAATCTGTGAAAATAATATCAACTACACAATTAGAAGAAACAACGAGAAGGGAAAATACTACTTCTCATGAATAGATGCCTTAAAGCATTCATTGTTAGGCTGCAAATAATCAACAATCTTCACTTTGGCCTCTAGTGCATTCTTTAGTCCTAAATAAAATAAATAACTTAGTTGTTATCACGAAAAATTTGACCCTCTTTTCCCCACCTTTTCCCAAAACAATCAAATCTTGGTTTATTTGTTGAGAAAAAAAGGGGTTGATCTGGCTAACAAAACACAGTCTGTAACTGACAGCTCCTTTTTGGCTCCTAATTCTTCCCCTAATGCTGACAGTTGGCAAAGATTCTAGATAAATTATTATAACTCTCAATGAGAAATACCTTTTTTTTTTTTTTTGGTAGATGCACGTGAAGCTTAAAACCAGCTACCAGGAAACAGGCAACTTCCTTATGAACAGCCCAAGCTACAATTCAATCACAGTTTCCTCCCCTCCATTGCTACAAATTCTTCTGGGTCCTAGAACTCTACCTTTTTTTTTTTAACTCTTTCTTGCCTGACACTCAAAACAATGAAGAATCAAAAATACACCTGTTAGACACTGAATATCCTGATCATCAAATAGCAGTCACCCTCTAAAAATCATTTTAACTACTTGCTATTGTATGTTTATATTACTGATGTGATATGTTAACACGAAAGAAAAAGCTGAGTAATGTCAAAAAAAGCTGTTATGTCCCAGGCATAAGGCACCTTTCAAAAGGAACAAAAGGGTTAATTGACAAGGTAGAAAAGGAATTTAAAGCATGGTATCTTTCTTCTCACTAAGGTTCTGAGGAAACAACAGAAAAGCAGGGTGCAATTTGGCTTTGTATATTGGAATCAAAGAATCTATTAGGATCCAATCTTTATTGCACGATAGGTAAGATACCAGTGAAATATGACAAGTACAGGACCATAGCTTTAAGATATAATAAAATGGCAAAATATGATACAATTGAACTTTTAGCCATAGTTTGTCAAATCATGTTCTAAGGAATCCCAAAGTTTTCCTTGAAAGCATAGAGACAATGGACATACTGTGTTTGCTAGATCACCTCTGGCCCCATTCTAATAATAATAGAACAATAACATTTATTTTGTGTTTTAAAGCTTGCAAAGCACTTTACTTATACCATCCCATTTGAGTCACACAACAATCAAATATTATTATCATCACTTTACAGATGAGAAAATTGAAGCACAAAGAGGTCTTCACTTGCTCAGGGTAACAAAGTTAGTAATTGTCAGAGGTGGAGTACACCTTTTAAACAATCAAGACTCAAAGTTAGTATAAGTGTTCCACTTATTCAAAATGGTTGAAAATTCTTGCTTCAGATTACTTTCCATTGTGTCTGTTTAGAAAGGAATAATTGACCCTGTTCCCTACATACCTAATATTTTGTGATTTTTCCTCCCTTCTTTTGACTTAGTGCATAAATTAAATATTGAAACAAACCATGTTAATTTCTTTCCATTACTTCTAGGACAGCAATTGCTCTTTGATCCAATAATAGAAAAATGAAAGTCTGTCATGCCACTAACATTCAATACAGGAGTGGCAGCTAGGTGGCACAGTGCATAGAGCACGGGCCTTGGATTCAGGAGGACCTGAGTTCGAATGTGGCCTCAGACACATAACACTTACTAGCTGTGTGACCCTGGGCAAGTCACTTAATCCCATTGCCCAGCGGGGGGACGACAACAACAACAACAACAACAACAACAACAACATTCAATACAGGACCCATACATTTAATTACATAGTTGTTGAGTTTATAAGATAATGCCTGCAAGAAGGACAGTAGAAAACGATCTACTATTTTATTTTCCTCCTTTATCCTTTGATGTCTAGGAGAAGTAATTTAGATTTCTTTTTGACAACCAGACTAAGGCCTAGCACTCAGGTCTGCCTTGGTTCTTTGTTATAGCAGTTATCAAAATGTTCTAGGTAGGACATACCAATAAAATCACAACAAAATCACTAAGTGAAGTGTTAACAGTATTTCTAATCCCCACGACTGACACTGAAAAGCCGTGGAAGTGGGAGTGAGAGTGTGCGTGTGGTGGTGGGGGTGGGGGTAATCCAGGGCACATCAAGTTTTCAAATTATTTCACTAACACTAATATTAATTAATTAATTTATATTCATTAACCTGAATACCCTCAAACACCTATTTAAAGAATGAGCGAAGTAGTGAAACTAGTCAAACTTGCTCTAGTCCTCTTGCCCTGTACGTGAGAACTTGTTTGGCAGGAAGGGAAAGAGAAGAGGAACTTACTTGTGATAAACGCGGAAACACTCCTAGATGAGACATTTAAAAAAAAAAAAAGCAAACGCGTTTTTCAGGTGCAGGTCCCTCGTTGCGTCCCGTAGGACATTCTCTACGCTAGGAAGCGTAAGGTACAACCCACTCCAGCCAATGAGGACGGGGTAGGCGCGCCCGTGCGTGACTGCCTGGCGCATGCCCAAAGCGTCCAGTCTTACTCAATTTTCCTTAACGCCTTTAGAAAAGAAATACATCTCTACTGGTTTTCAAGGAACTTAAAACGTTTGCTTTCCTCCCTGAGTGTGCATGAGGCAGGCTGTTCGTCCAGCGAGCAACCGGGGTTACTCACTCCCCTCAGGATTTAAGACGGATGTGCCTGCCCTCAGGGGGAGGGGGTGGTGGCATTACTTCGGCTTAAAGTCACAGGAACCCTTTCGGTCCTTCCAGCCTCCTGCTAACAGAAGGCCGGAAGTGAGTCTTACCCCCCGTGGTGCCAAGAGGCATTCCGATGCCCGCGGCTTAGAGGCTGAGCTGAGCTCTGCAGGCATGCCTCCCTGAATGCAGCGGCTTCCTTCTGCAACACCTGAAGGATCGCTGACCTGTCGTCACCCTCCTCCCCTAATTCCCAATCCCCCCTCCCCGCTGGTTTGGTTTGCCAAGAACAGAATCGATTTTCCGTATCAATGATTCTGTTCTCAGGCGGGGGACAGCAAACAGCATTTTAGAAGAACGTGCAAAATCAGCAGCCCCCACCTCGAACCCCTCCCTAGTCCGCAAAAAGCAGTCAATTATCTAAATGTATTTTGGGGGTGGGGGAGTAGGAGGTGGTTAAATGACCAAAAGGTAAGGTAGTTAGTAAAAAGAATCACAGCCCTGTCGGCCGCAACTTTTCACTCTCGGGGCCATAGATGTAATGTTAATACTTTCCTCCAGAGAATCTCTCTAATATTAATAATACTTTAAATAGTAATAGTTGACATTTGTATAGCTGCTTACCACGTGCATTTTGCAGATACAGTAATTACAGTATTATCTCATTTGATCCTTACAATAGTCGTGGAAAGTAGATGTTATTGTCATCAACATTTTATAGAGGAGGAAGTTGAGGCAAATAGAGATTAAATGACTTGCTCAAGGTCGCACGACTAAGTAAGCTTCTGAGGTTTGATTTGAACTCAGGTCTTTCTGACTCCAGGTCAGGTGCTTTATCCACTGAACCATCTAGTTTCCCTGCTACATATATACACATACATATATATGCAAAGAGTTTTTCATACATATATAGTGGGAGTCTTACGACAATAGTATATATACTTGGGGGGCGGCGGGGCGCAGCTAGGCACTGTGCCAAGTCAGGAAGATTTGTCTTCCTGACACTTCTGACACTTAGAAGCCGTGTGACGCCGCACAAGACACAAACCTGTGTGCCTCAGTTCCTCTTCTGTAAAATGAGCTGGAGAAGGGAATAATGGCAAACCACTCCAATATCTTTGCCAAGCAAACCCCAAATGGGGTCACAAAGAGTCAGAGGACAGGACTGAAAAAAATGAACGAACAGAAAATTAAAGCCCACAAAGAGGATTTTTATATTTGATGGTGGAGGTAAGAGGCAGTCAATTGTTATTTAAATGGAGTGGGTGGAGGAGTGAAATGGTGAGACGAACTTGAAGATGGACTGGAGTGGGGAAGAGACTAGGCTGGGGGAGACCCTGAGTTCCTAGACAGCAGGAACTGTTTTTGGTTTTTGACCTTTCTGTGTAGTCTCAGATTTATCGATTTATCACCTTGCCTAGCACACGACAGGTGCTTGATAAATGCTTATTGACTTGATAGCTGGCATTTATGTAACGTTTAACGTTTAATGTTTTGCAAAGAGTTTTTTCATACGCGCCTAGCAGTCTCTCAACAGTAGTAACCAACATTTATTTACATGGCACTATGAGTGGGGCACTGTGCTAAGGGCTTAACAGATATCATCTCATTTGGTCCTCACAACAATCTTCAGAGTTAACTGCTGTTATACCCATTTTACAATGAGGAAAATAAAGAAGATGGCGGTTAAGTGACTTGTCCAGTGTCCCACTGCTAGTCAGTGTCTGAGTGGATTTGAACTCGTCTTCCTAACTTCAGGCTCATTAGGTTTCCTTTCTTTCTTTCTTTTTTTCCTTTTTGGCTAGGCAGTGGGGTCAAAGTGACTTGGCCAGGGTCACACAGCTGGTAAGTGTCAAGTGTTTGAGACGGATTTGAAATCAGGTCCTCCGAGTCCAGGGCGGGTACTAGGTTTGTAAGTGTAATCAAGAACACAGGATGTGTGTGTGTGTGTGCGTATACATGCACATACAAACATATCTATGGTAGGTTTTATTTACACACACGCACACATCTATTAGGTCTTTATTGACTATACTGTAATATATACACACAAAGTAGGTCTTCACTGAGCTGCATCAGGTTTCTATCTAAAGTGCAATCAAGACCACAGAACATTTAATATGTTGTCACCCTTTACTAAATGAGGGCAGGGGCTGTCTTTTCTCTCTTTTTGTCCCCTTAGCGCTTTGCGCAGAGTCAGACACAAAATAGGTACTTAATTGTTTACTGATTAACTACCTCGGTCCTCTTTGCTTTTCCCGCCCTTAGCCCTTACCACTAGGACACAGTTGAGAGCGCTATGACTTTTTGGACAGCCCCTCGAACAGACTGAGCATGCGCCCAGAGGTGACTGACGCGCGTGCGCGGCCCCGGCGTGGGGCGGGCTTCCTTGGGCGAGCCAGGGGCGGGGTGGGGCGGCGTGGCGCGGCTCCGGGGTTCTGCGGCGCAGGGCTCCTCTCCCGCGTGGGCCTTCTCGTCATGCTTTGGGGGTTGAGGCGTGGCAGGGCGGCGGCCACGGGCCTGGCTGGGCTTCGCCGACCTCTGTGGGGCCCGGGATGGCGGGGGACGACGACGACGAGCTTCCTGCGGAGGTTCGACACCGTCAATGGGGCCAGCAACCAACAGCCGCCTTCCAAGGCCGGCTCTTACCGCGAGACGGTGCGGCTGCCGAAGACCAGCATGCCCATGAAGCTCGTGGGGCGCCAGCAAGCCGACATGGAGCTGGAGATCCAGCAGGTGAGCGGCCCCCCGGGGGGCGGAGAGGGAGGTGCGGCTTCCTCCGCAGTGTGACCTCGGCTAAGTCTCCTCACCCCTGCGCCCCAGGGTCCGAGCTAGCCGTGACCTAGCGCTTTGCCACGATGATCTCATTTGGTTCCCACTGTCAACCTGGGAGGTGGGGGCTGTTATTATCCCCACTCTGTGCATGGAGTAACTGAGGCAACTGTACTGTTCTGTTCAGTCGTGTTCGACTCTTTGTGACCACATTTGGGGTTTTCTGGGCAGAGATAGCGCAGTGGTTTGCCTTTCCATCTCCAGTTCATTTTACAGATGAGGAAACTGAGGCAAACAGAGGTAAGCGACTTGCCCAGGGTCACACAGCTGGTGAGTGTCTGAGGGCAGATATGAACTCAGGTCTTCCTGACTCCCCACTGGGCTGTTAACTGCACCACCTAACTTGCCTATGTGTCTCATGCCTGTGACCCTCCCTGGGTTGTTTTGATGATCAAATCAGGTAATGTATATAATGTTTCGGAATTGTCAGCAGTTAGGATTATCATCTATTAGTTCTTCAATGAAGAAGTCCTTTGAGAACCTTCAGAGGCAGAAGTGAGATTACTTTAGGATCTGTTGCCTGAGCTCCTGGAATTGGTTGATAGTGATTTGTAGGAAAAAAAATTTAAAAAACTGACTAACTGGATGGTAGAGGATGTTGAAGGGAAGTTAGGGATATTTGGAATATGATTATGCCATCCATTATGGTTAGACCCCTTTAGAAGTCTGGTAATATCTATGGACCCTTTCTCCAAATGATGTTTTTATATTCATAAAATAAAGTACACAGGATTATAAAAGAAATTAATTGCATCAAAAGAACTATACAAGGTTTTTAGAAAATTGTTATAACATAAAAGCTACTGTTTATATAGTTCTTTAAGATTAGCAATACTCATTAACTCATTTTATCCTCACAACAACTCTGAGAGATAGATGACATTATCCCCATTGAGGAAACTGAGGCACAGTGGGACTGAAAGCCAATAAGTAACAGAGGCAGGATTTGAATTCAGGTCTTTGTGACCTGAAAGTAAGAAACCTGGAGATTTATTTCAAGAGTTGATCAGTAGATTCCTTGTGTTTCTGTCTGTCTTTTTCTATGTTGCAGTTTTCTTTTAAGATTTCTTGAAATGTGATGTCTAGGGGCTCTAGGCTCTTTTGTTGTTGTTGTTGTTGCTGTTGTTCATGGCATTCAGGTAGTCCAATGATTCTCGATTTTTTTCCTCCTTAGTTTGTTTTCCAAGTCTGTTTTTGCTATGAGATACCTTACTTTTTTTCTATTTTTTTTTTTCAGTTTTTGACTTAGTTTTATTATTTCTTGTTGTCCCATGGAATCATTGGCTCCTTTTTGGATCATTCTAACTTTCGTAGAGTTTGTTGCTTGGACAAGGTTCCATGCCTCTTGTTCCAAGCTAGTCCCTTTTCAATTTTTTTCTGTAGCTCTTATTTCCTCTCCAGTTTTTTCACCTAGCACTCTTTTTGTTGATTAAAAATCATGTTCTAACTTTTAAAAAATCTTTCTCCATCTTTTCCAGGAATTCTAGTTGAATTTCTACCCAGGCTGTGTTTTCGTTTGAGGCTTTGCTTGTAGGTGTTTTAGAGTCATTCTCTTCTGGGTTTGTGTCTTGAGCATCTCTGTCACCATAATGTTTTACAGTACGATTCTTTTTTTGTTGTTCATTCTTCTAGACTTCTTTCCAACTTGGACTTGATGTTAGGGCCATGTTCTGTGCAATTCTGGAGGGAGACCTTGGGCTGGTCTTGTCGATGGTTTCTTGGGGTATCAAGTATTATTATTGTAGAATTTCAGGAACGCCTCAGACTGGGGGCCTACAGCCTTCTTATTGCTCCCAAAATGGTCTGATCCAGGTCAGAGTCTAATTGTTGCCTCCTTGGTCTGAGCTCTGCAATTTCCTGACCTGGGTTTGGATCTAAGCAATAGTTTTGGTTTTTTTTTTTTTTTTTTTAACTACATTACTGCCAGGTTTAATGTAACTGTTATTCCCATTTCTGCCCTGCAAAAGTAAGCAAATGCCCCCATCAAAATTACACTGTAAAATGTAAGTAGTTCTAGAGAAAATATTGGTACCAACTGCATTAAAAAAAAAGTTTTAAGGCATAATAAAAAAAATACAAGGACAATTAATTTCTTTCTTTTATTTTTGCTTTTTTGTGAGGCAGTGTGGGTTAAGTGACTTGCCCAGGGTCACACAGCTAGTAAGTGTCAAGTGTCTGGTCTGAGACCGAATTTGAACTCAGAGCCTCCTGACTCCAAGACCAGTGCTCTATCCACTGCGCCACCTAGCTGCCTCTGTGAGGTATATTTTTGCCACCATAAGCTAGCACCCAAAACATGTTTTCCTATAAATACACTGTTAAAAATAGTAATTAGGTTCCATAGTTTAGCTACATTCTGGGTAAAGTAGACTTCTGTTACCTAGTCTAAGAATTTAATCACCATTTACGACATTGTCTCTACATAAAAATGATTTCCTCATTTCAAACTGACTTCCAAAATTCTAGAACACAGCCCATTAGTTAAACTGGGTATTGTCTGTACACTTAAGGTTCATAGGAAACAGCAACCATATCTTGGCTGTAAAGCAATCTCCAAAATCAGGGAATCCTCAAGAGGTAGTAAAATCTTTGGCTAACAAATCCCATATGCCAGTTCCCCTTAATTTGCCAAATAAGGAGTGTTTAGCAGCAATTTCCTATAAGCATTTAAATATTGAGGATAATGGGTGCATATTAATACAAGATGTCAGTTTGCTAAATATTCTAAGTAGAACAATATTTCCAGAATTTGGTGCTCATCTTGTAGATATCCATCATGAAACCATGAAACTTCACGTGCCCTACTTGCATGGTAATAACAGATGTTCCAAAATGCAAGAGGTATGGAATTGTAAAATATAGTGTTATTTAGTCTGACACTGAAGAACATTTCCCTAAATGGATCAAAGGGACATGATTCTATAGTTAAATGTGATTAGAATAGCTTCAAGAAAATTGTAGTCTATTATCTCCACTTGAAAACCTCCTATTTTATCCACTGATATTAGATCTAGTTAATTTCCATGTCTGAGGCTTCCAGTTTAATGGGCAGAAGATTGCAGAGATTTCCCCAAAATGAGTAATCACTCATACGAGGGAATTTTCTGCTTTCTCTTTAGTATACCTAAGTAATTAAGGTATTCTAAATGGTAAAGTCACCAGCAGTTTGTCAAGCTGGTATTTGAACACTAAAAATGGTTCTTTAGGGGCAACTAGGTGGCGCAGTGGATAGAGCACCGACCATAAAGTCAGGAGGACCTGAGTTCAAATCCGGCTTCAGACCAAACACCTGACACTTACTAGCTGTGTGACCCTGGGCAAGTCACTTAATCCCAATTGCCTAAAAACTAAAAACTTTAAAAAAAAATGTGAATAACCAAAATATCAGAAAGAAATTGGGTAGGTTATTAAGAAGGCCTTTACAAAAGACTGGAAGGCCCCACTCCCCCCTTTAGAAAAGAATTGTGGTTTGTGAAAGTAGTATGTTCACACCACTGGTGAACTGCAGAGGCAGTGAAAGGCATTTAAGGCTTATGAGAATGGCAGGAAGAAATTATTCACTTTAAAAATCAGTATATAAGAGATCCAACTTAACTCTCTTTTCTGTAAGGTAGGCCTTTTGATCTAAGATCAGGCCAAGGGCTTCTAGCTGACAGAAGGTACAGATGACCTTGGAAGATCTGGGTGCAAAAATCTGCTGTTAAGAATAGTTCTACAAACAAGGGAAAAGAGAAAATTGGCTTGATTGATAAGCACTTGCAAGAGTTTGATTGAAGTCCAATACCCATTTCAAGTTGCAGCTTAGTGAGTCTTTCCTGGCTTTTGTGGGAAAGAGGTAAAAAAGCCTCATAGGATGTCTGCAGAACAATGCATCATGGAGGCAAACTTAAAAGGACACAAACAGATTTGGCACCCATTTTCTCAGATATTAATAGTGCCCCCATAAAAGGTAAAGGTCCTGTATCATCACTTTATATAATGTAAGGACTCTATGAGCTAAATGGTCTATTACCCTTCTGAAACACAAGTTGTATCCATTAGACAAGGGAGGGGGAGCACTCCTGGCAGCTGTCCAACACATCATTCACACGGGTTTTTAGTCTCCTAGTGACACTGTCAATGGCTACTGCTGCAGGACCATCTCTAGATGTACATTTGCCCACCAAAACACAGATATTCCTAGTACCCATCAAGATCCTACTCTTTCTCCATTTTCTTTTACTCCATCAAAGACTCTGTCATATTTGGAACTAATTCTCAGATGCAAACCTGGGGAATTCCTTATTGCTCTCATAAGATTTGTTTTCTCTATTCCCTGAAAGGCTGTATGTCCCCTGGTCCTGTGGAGCCCTAGCTGTTTCTAGAAGAGCAACATGAAAATCTTCACACATAAATCATCAACACCTCCCCTCCCTGCCCTACCCTAACTTGTACTAATTAGAAACTATAAACCTTGACACCCTAACAGAAGAGTTTCTAGTGTGAAGATGCTGGTATTAGTTTCCTCTAGTAGAAAGAGATGCTGGATTTGCCATGTGGTGGGTTGAGGACTTTGTTGTGTGAGCTCCACCTGGTGCCCACCTGGGCTCACGGTTGTCAATCTTGAGTTTAGGCTCAGTTTCCTTGGCTCATTCCTCCTTTCCTTTGTCACATTTCTCATCATATTCTTCTCTTGAAGACGGTGTATTCTCGTATCTCTGAGTTGCAATTTTGTGTCCTCACCTTCACATAAGACAATATGATCCTTGGGCTTGTTTAGGTGTGCTAAGGGTGCAGAAATGGTGACTGGAGACTCAAAGATGTCACTGGTCTTCCCACTGAGGGATTCAAACAGTATCGAGCCTACCCAGGGGTAGGCTCTTCAAAGATACCACTTCCTTTGCCTCCTGGAGGATTTGACCTTT